ATAGAGGCCCGTATTCTCACACAGAGACCCATAGACTCACAGTGATGTGGTACAATGCGTGACGAGACGTGGATTTACGCAGCACACACCCCACTACCCCGCGCCACGCTGCTACCCCGCACCATCCCACTACCCTGTATCCCGCATCCCATACCCAGACCCCACACCCCGTACTCGGTGTTTCTTTGTGTGTTGGACGGATTTTCTTCTCTCAAGCAGCCCTTTGCGACCGCGACCGTACGCGCTGGTCAGTCGGATGGCACTGGGAGCTTTGGCACTTTTAAATCATCATCGAGATAAAAAAAATGTATTTCTTTAAAACTGCTTTTGCGTTTCCGATTAGCACGGTTGGCTACATATAGTGCGAAATAAGTTCAACATACATAGAGACCCATAGACTCACGTTTACCCACACACTCACACAGACACCCATAGACTCACATAAACCCAAAGACACACACAGAGCCCCACAGACTCACACAGAGTCCGACATACTCACACAGAGCCCCACAGACTCACACAGAGCCCCACAGACTCACACAGAGACCCACAGACTCACACAGAGTCCGACATACTCACACAGAGACCCACAGACTCACACAGAGGCCCATAGACTCACATAGACCCATAGGCTCACACGGACACCCACAGACTCACACCGGGACCCACAGACTCACATTGAGACTCATAGACTCACACAGACACCCACAGACTCATAGAAGCCCTGACTCACACAGAGACCTACAGACTCACATAGAGACCCACAGACACCCAGACTCACATAAATCCACAAACTCACAAATAGACCCACAGACACCCACAGACTCACATATACCTACTGACTCAAACATAGAGATGCACAGACTCACACAGAGATCCAGACTCATAAGGGCTGTGCCTTTCCATGTTTTTTGTCGTTAACTGTGACGGCGGGGGGGGGGGGGAAGTCGGGGACTGGGTTTGGGAGTGAATGGGCGTCTGGGTCCCGCGCCGTCTTAACTCACCGCAGCATCTGCGCCTAACTTTGTCCCCGGTGCAAGGTTCTAGATGAAGGATTAGACCGCGGGTCACGGAGATATGAAACACCTGGTCAGTTTCGTTTCTCGAATGGCCCAAACGACATTTTAGTTCGAGAGGCGTGAATTGTATCGTGCCCGTAATGTCCTCCTTGTGGCTTCGTATGGCGGTTGAAAGAAAAGCAACGGGACATATTTTTACGTGTAATTGTTGTGCAAAGACTCCTCTACTTACGCACATTCGACTTACGAACTTTCAGAGATACGAACAAACCCGTCCGTGAGTCCATTTGCCTGTTCGGACCGAGAATCAGAAGTTCATCCGCCGTGCAATAGATGGCGGTGGTGGCATCTGCATCTACAGGATATTAAACAGCTTTTGAAGCCATTCCCTGTGTTTAGTGTACATGCCGTACAACATGGTTGGAATCGACAGTACAGTTGGACTTACGAACAATTCTACTTACAAACAGACCTCTGGTAGCTAACTCGCAAAGGAATCCCAGTATAAGCCGTTCCACAGCATTCACGTTAGTAACTTAAACGACCCCCATCTCTTCTCGCTATCCCATAATCCTGCTGCTGTTGGTACTCCCTGCCCCCACCTCCCAGCTACGACCAGGTATAGTCCAACTCCTATCATTACCCCGATCACTACCCCAACTCCTATCACTACACCTACCACTGCCCAAAGCTTTATCACTACCCCAATCACTACCCCAACTCCAATCACTACCCTTATAAATAATGTAATAATATCACAATAAAATTGTTTCTTTTTTTACAGCGTTCTAACTTAAGCTTTACACTGAAGCTAACGTTATAGCGAAAGCTTGTTGTAAATACAGGTTGAGTTTTAAGACATGATTAAAAAAGAAGTGTAACAAACTCAAGATTCCCTCATGGACCAAGGAGGAAGGGAATCCACAATCGCGAAGCCTGGCTGGAAAAAATAGCCTCCGTTTCCCATCGAACGTCTGGTATCTGTAATCATAATGAGTTGAGCAGAATTAGCATCTCTAAGTTTTTGCAGTGGAAGATAAAACTTAAGCAGATTGGTGAGATGTTTAGGGAGTAAGTGAGCCACTCCATTCAATTCCTGAGGAAGCTCCCACGGACATGGGAGTGAAACATCGGACATCGTTCCAAAGCAACAACTCAACCACATGTGAGAGTTAATGTTTAAACAGAAAAAGAAAACACTTGATACATAAAACGCATACAAAAATACATACGTTTAAAAAATATTTTATTTGTAGTTTCTCCAACATCAATACAATTGTTCTGTGGCGTAAAATTATTATGAATATAAAACAGAAATGAAATTCCATTTTCAGTAACTTGTCAAACTCATAAAAAACAAAATGGCGGCCCTTGGTTGGTATCAAACAAAAATGGTGGCTATTTCAGAGGTGAGGGAATGATGAAAATGCCGGCTGACCAGTTTAAAACACGAATTATTGAGGAGTTTGGTTTAATAGGAGGCAAAAATAGTACAAAAAATCAAGGCAAGACTTGTTTTTAAAAGGCCACTTTTTCTTTTAAACAACTTGTTAATAGTACTGGGCAGTATGTTTCGTTACAAACGATACCCGAGTTAAATTCTCGGCCGCGGCTAATGTCATGCAAATACGTGGCGGTTTGTTCAGGATGCCTATCCCGCTGGACTGACCCACAACGGAGTAACGCAGCCAAGTATGGCAAAGCAAACCCCGCACGACTGACGTGGCAAAGGGGGAGGGGTCCTCATCCAACAGTGGAGTGACACAACAGGTGTCAAATAATCGATGTAACGGGTTGACCGTATAGAAAAACCATCATCGGAGTGCTTCCACAGCCCAAAGATGCGTAGGTTGTTAATTTCTGTTGCGAGTGGTGTGTCAGTGGTGAAAGAGGTGGGGGTCGACCACACTTTACACCACTACACATGGTGGAGAGATGCTAACTACCTCGCCTGGTATGCAGGAGGATGTGGGTTCGACCCCCGACCCTGACTTCTGTATATTTGGAGTTTGAATGTTCTCCCCTGTGGACGTGTTCATTTTTCTCCGGGTTTTCCCTCCACATTTTTAATCAATATTTGTTTAGAGTATTGTGCTGAAATACATTTCCACGTGAGTTTAGGTATCATTTGTAATAGCCAGGTCGCTTCTGAAAAAGAGCTGTTATATGAGCTCAGTGGGCCTTGCCTGGTTAAAGTAAAGTAGTTGTTTATATTCTTAGTTTTTTCGGTAAAGTCACGTTTAAGAGAAACAACAAAATAACAAAATATATATAAAACAATAAAAAAATCTCACGACGTTTCGACCATAACTCAAACGGTCATCATCAGGTGATGACCGTTTGAGTTATGGTCGAAACGTCGTGAGAATTTTTTATTGTTTTATATATATTTTGTTATTTTGTTGTTTCTCTTCAACGTGACTTTACCGAAAAAACTAAGAATATGAATTACTGCAGTCACGAAAGCTTTAAATCAAAATTTAGTTGTTTATAGTTCAACTGCTGTGCCGGGGGAAGATGGAATCGAACCCAAGGTGGTTACTCGTTTAACCAACACCAGAAGGATATGGTGGTGTATGTTTGGATTTCAGCTCACCACTTTTGCGATCCACTCGGCTGTACGGCCAATTAAAAAACAAAAATTTTGCAGATGTTTTTCCCACTTCAAAAGGCAGTGCAGCAAATAGGTTGACCTATGTATATTATCAGTGTTATCCCTTCCATGCGCACGATTCTCCGCAGGTAAAGCCTGCTGTAAAAAAAACCGCTCATCGCAAAAGGAATTGTGCCAAACGTCACAATCGACCAGGGCCCTCTCTTATCGAGACTCAGTAACTCCCAGGACGCAAGGAATCGGTGGGGCCAACGGTACCAACCACATACCAACGTTGGTCCAACGTTACCGTTGACGGTGCAACCGGTAAACGTTGCCGACGTGGGTTGCGGCTCTCCCGACTTTCGGGACATTATTCTAAACGTTGGTAATTGTTGCAAAGCACTGCTTAATACTGAAACGTGGGCGTTTTGTCGATACCAGCTCCAAGTCAACTCTCCGTTATCTCGGGGTGAGGGGGGTAATGCGGAAGCGATGACCCAGATAAAAAATAAAACATGGCTACAAGAACGCGATTAATCCGCGTTGTAACGGGATTCACGTGCATTAGAACATGATGAACCTGTGTTAGAACATGATTAACCTATGTTTGAACATGATGAACCTGTATTAGAACATGCTTAACATGTGTTTGAACACGCTTAGCCTGTGTTAGAACACGCTCAGCCTGTGTTAGAACATGATTAACCCGAGTCGGAACAGGACGTGGCGTCTGCGTCTTTTTGCTCCGGGGTCACCGGCAGTGTCCCGTCGGGGTTCGGCGATCGACGAGCGATGGCCGAGGAGAGAGGAGCAGCGACTGCTAAAAGCCAAGCGGTGGATGCCTCTGGGCGACTCACACATGCGCTTTGATGTCGATAAATAACAGCGCACAGGTGAAACGGACACGGGGAATCGGGTGGTGGTAGTTGTACGATTGTAAAGGGGCGCTCACCCTCAGGGCGAGCTTCCAGTCGGACACCAAAAGCTACCACGGGGTGTTGGATGGCAACGCGACAGAAGACGGCTACTCCTTTGGTTCTCTCGGTAAAGTCACGTCGAAAGAAATTAAATAATAATAATACATATATTGCAATACAACACAGAGAGTCGGCCAACATAAGTTGATTACGTTCTTCCAAAGATGTCTAAATTTGAGAGACAAAACACAGACACGGAGACACACAGACAGACACGCAAGCAGAGATAGACTCACACAGAGACACACACATAGGCACACAAGTTTCTGTGTGTCTACGTTGTGTGTATCTCTCTGTGTGTCTCTGTGTGTGTCTCTGTGTGAGCCTCTCTCTGCTTGTGTGTCTGTCTGTGTGTCTCCGTGTCTATGTTTTGTCTCTCAAATTTATCAATCTTTGGAAGAACGTAATCAACCTGGTAGGGTGTTGACTTATGTTGGCCGACTCTCTGTGTTGTATTGCATTATATTTATTATTTCATTTATTTTATTTTACCGAAATAACCAAAGAGTAATACCTGCAGTCACGAAAGCTTCGAATCTAAAAGACGAATAGCCTGTTACGCCAGGATAGTCACCAGCCCTATTGCTCTCTTTTAGTGTTCCAGTTAAGCGGCGCGCCAACACATAAATAAAACTTGTTCCGGTAAAAAAAAAGTGAAAAAATATGTAACGGAGGCATGTCTACGTATAATTCTACGTGTGTGTGTGCTTCCAAAAGTAATTAAGTTTGTACATACCTCAAGCGCTAAAGTTTACCGCTAGCACGCGCGTGTTCTTTGTTGGGTCGTGTGTTCCGACTGTGAGGTCAGGTTAAAGTTGCAATCATTGCAATATTGACCACGGTTCTATGCCGCACCGGCTCTTTAAAACAACCATGCCATCACCCACGTTTTCCCCCCAGAGTTGCAGTGGTGGGTGTCAGGAACTGTTGTTGGGCCAAAATGAGAACGAGATCGCGTCGTGGAGACAGAAGGGTCCCACGACTTAAGAGGATATTTTTTGGGCGTATCCTTTCACACACTCGCTTAGATTTTCCTTCGAAAGAGGTGGGAACACCGCACACTCTAGCCCGCACCCATGCGACCCTTGCAATCGATCTAACTGTGCAGCACTCATTTACACTGCTGGATGGTGGACAGAGGGAGTAAGGGGGGGGGGGGATTTAAACAAAATTCACCATTGTTTTTCAGCTGTCGTGGCGGGAGGTGGAATCGAACCGGCAGAGACCCACTGTATTGCAGGTCCAGCGGTGCTGCTGACGGTTACACCACCACCAAGGCGATGGCATCGCAAGAAAAAAAAACAAAAAATAAAGTTGCATTGCTTTAACTTTGTGGAAAAAAAAACAACACCCATCGTGTACTTGAGTCAGTCTTTCCATGCATTTAAACTGACCGTGGTTTGTAAAACTTTAGTTCTACCTAACATTGTGTCCGATTTACGGGTGCATTGGTGGCGCGGAATTTTAGCGTTCTGCGCTACAAACCCGCTTCCCGGGTTCGATTTGCGACAACGGCGAACAAAAGTGGCGGGCAATATGTGAATCTGCGTCTCAGACTCACACCCCGTTGGCCAACCTGCGCGGTGAAGTATGGTCAAACCCCCCCCTCCCCATAGCCAAAAGGGCATGAGGTGGACTTCATCCAACAGTGGATTGAGAGGTCTGTGAATGTATAATTGTTTTGTCACCGATTCTGGTATGTTCACGATTGCTGTGTCTTGCCTATTGTTGATCGCGGGTGAATGCCCAATATGGACGCACGATAAAATTCAAGATGGCCGCAGCAAAAATTCATAATTCCTACAAGTTTCTAAAAAGAAAACAAATATATAAACGTATTGTAGTGATATAAAATTCATGAACGTCGAGCTATAATTGTGTATATGATTGATAATATTGGAGCGTACGAGAATATAAAGTTTACGATATAAATTCCAATGTTTTCGTATATCGTGTCAAAGATGGCCGATACAGCAACGGACTGCGGAAGAGAGTTGAACAAATCCTTTGGCGGAGGAAATCCAGAGGTGTTGCTAAAAATATAAAAATGAGTTCAAGGTGGAAAATCAGTGGTTTCCAAGACATCAGGACTTCAAATTGGCAGTAGCGCAACGCGGGACGGTGAAAAAAGCAAACTGGAGCAGAAATGAGATTGTGGAGTTGCAAAATCCATGACGACTCGATCAAGATGGCGGCTCGATCAAGATGGCGGCTGTTGAAAACAAAGATGGTGGAAACGCCAAATTCAAAAAATTTCCGAGTACGGCGATCCGGTGTCGCGCCATCGCAGGGCTGAAGATGGTGGCATCCAACAGCTTCCGGTGGCAGCGCTGGCGGGTACTGAAGAACCCAAAGTGGCGGCGCTGCACAATCCATGATGGCGGCGTTGAGAGGGGGATGCGCAAATAAGGTGGCGGAGAGGCAGGACGCGGCTAGTTGAGGAAGAGCGTGTAGCCCTCGGCCCCCGTGATGATGACGTCCATCCAGATCCTCATGGCCTCCGGCGACTGGGCCACCATGTAGTAGACACGGTCATGGGTCTTTACGCAGAACGTCAGCGCCGGGTTGGGGCTCTGTTGGAGAAAGGGCAAGGGGAAAAAGAAGGAGCGCCGCGGTGGAGAGATGTTAACTTCCTCGCCTGGTAGGCAGGTGGTCGTGGATTCGATCCCGACCCTGATGCCTGCTGTATATTTGGAGTTTGCGTCTCTCTCTCCCACTGGTCACGTGCATTTTTCTCTGGGGTCCTGCAGTTTTACCTTCCACATTTACATTCAACGTGCATTGAAAGTATTTGGCTGCTGCTAGAATTTTCCACTTGGTAAGCCACTTTTGTTGTGATAGCCAGGTCGCCTCTGAAAAAGTGCCGTTTCAGCTCAGTGGGCCTTACCTGGTAAAATACAAAAGAGTTTAGAAAGATGTATTATAAACATGCTCCTAGGCAGCGCTAATTTTAGTCCGTATTTGTTTGATTTATTTAATCTCAGCCGAGGACAAACCCCGAAGGGGAATTTAGTCCAGCCACAAGTCCATGGTATTTCATTTCAAGTACGCTTCTCGCTCTGGCTAAAATCTCCGCGGCCCATTGGCGTCAGGTCGGCCAATCGGTGAGCTTGGCGACTCGTCAGCGATACGACGGCCACGGCCGATTTGCTCGTTTTTCGTTTGGCCTCCGGCGGGCGCCGCTGCGTTCTCCGACGGCGTGACTCAACGGCCGCGAGGTGAACTCAACGTTGTCACAGTCGTCGTCACTGGCGTTTCGCCACAGTCGTCATTCACGCTCGACAAATTTCATCGTCGATAAAAATGTAACGAAAAAAAAAAGAATTTCGCGGACGAACATTTATCTCTCTAATTTCCTTGAGAGGATTAAGGATAACGTTGATCGATATCTCGGTTTTATTTATTGGTTGTCGCGCGCAACCCCCTCGCTATATCTTGCCGCTCTCTCCCCGAAAAAGGTGAACTCCACCAAACATCTCAACGGTATTGGGCTGTATGTATGGTGAACTTCTTTCGTATTGCGCATAGCCAACCATGCTCACCGTTATTGTTATCATGAACCCACCGATTTGACTTAATCGGCCTCCTCAATACTGAGAAATGCTGGCGAAGATTTTAAATAATTTTTAATCCTTACTTATTTCCACAAGTTTGAGCTAAACTATTTTTTTTATTTGACTTGGCAAGGCCCACTGCGTTACGCAGGTCATTTTCAAAAGCAATCAGGCCAAATGATAGCTCAACGAAGTGGCTCATCACTTGGAAATTTAAATCAGCCAAATACTCTAAACGCATATTTATAAATGTGGGGGGGGGGGGGGGGAACTGAAAAATCCACGCGACCACAGGGAGAGAGACACGCAAACTCGAAATATACAACAGGCATCAGGGTTGGGATCGAACAGACGACCTCCTGTATACCAGGCGAGGTAGTTAACATCTAGCCACCGTGATGATAATGAGGGAGACACACTGCAAACTCCAAATATACAGCAGGCGTCAGGGTCGGGATTGAGCCCACAAACTCCTGTATACCAGGCGAGGTAGTTAACATCTCCTAGCCACCGTGATGATGATGAGAGAGAGAGACACCGCAAAGTCCAAATATACAGCAGGCGTCAGGGTTGGGATCGAACCCACGACCTCCTGTATACCAGGCGAGGTAGTTAACATCTCCTAGCCACCGTGATGATGATGAGAGAGAGACACCGCAAACTCCAAATATACAGCAGGCGTCAGGGTCGGGATCGAACCCACGACCTCCTGTATACCAGGCGAGGGAGTCAACATCTCATAGCCACCGTGCGCCATCGTCCGCGTCACGGCGGGCAGGAATCAAAGAATTGCCGTCACGCCGGATGAATGCTGCCCGCTCGTTAAAAATAAAAAAACGCGACAACAACAAAACGTTCCACTGACGAATACTCTCGTCGCTAATTTTCGCAAATCAACACGCACCGACTGTGCTGAAGCCATGCACACACGACGCAAACAACACAAAGGGGGTGGCTGGGTGCGAAACACAGGCGTTGATGAAACACGGAGAAGACGCTGCCAACAAAAATCTATAAATAAGCGCCACGTGATCGTTACCGTGCCGAACCATCTTGCGGAAGACCGTTGAACGCGACGATGTAAAATTATCATCATTCTTTTTTTATCATTGAAACTCGTTTTGGCCAGGAAAGCCTCACTCGAGTCTGCTGCTGCGTCTGATACCAATTGAGTGATTTGCATAAACACCGGTTGGCATTGTGCGATTGTGTTTTTGAGCCCTGGGATTTGAACCCACGGGAAATCCACGTCAGAAACAAGGCGGCGGCGGTGGGGGGTGGGGAAGATTACAAACTCCACACACGGAAAAGCGCCCCGAGTCAGGAGTCGAACCCAGGCTCTTCTAAGTGCAGTGAGGCCACAAGTGTACACCACTGCGCCACTGCTCCTGTCGCAAACTCTGCCGATTCTGAGCAACTCGTTTAAAAATGTTCAAGCTGTTTTTTTTTAAATATATATTTCACCAGGTAAGGGCCCCACTGAGCCGTGTGGCTCTTTTTCAGGAGCCACAAACGACAGCTCAACTAAGTGGCTCATCGGCATCGCCACGTGGAAATTTACAGCGGCCAGATACTCGTAAAAACGCGTCTTCCGGAAGACCATCATTCCCCGGATTTATAGGACACAACCCAAACACTTTTCTTTACAATGCATGTCCGTGTGTTGAACTTTCTTTCGCACCGTACGTAGCCGACCGCGCTAATCGTAGGTGCGTGCGAAGGACAACAAACGTAAAAACCAAAAGCACAGCTCTAAAGAAAATGAGTTTGCCAATCTAGATGATGATTTAAAGGTGCAGCATAGCTCCAACGGCTTCCGAATATCGGAAGAGCGGTTCCAGACGGCCGCAAGAGGCGCGTCTGAAAGCGCCGCGCGACGATGCGGTGACCGCCGCCTTTGTTCGATGGTTAGCCAGAAGGTCGGTGTATAGTAGTGTAGTGTGTAGTGTATAGCAGTGTAGTGTATAGTGTAGTGTACAGTGTAGTATATAGTTGTGTATAGTGTAGTGTATAGTAGTGTAGTGTATAGTGTAGTGTAAAGTGTAGTGTATAGTTTAGTATGTAGTTGTGTAGTGTATAGTGTAGTGTATATAGCATCTGAAAGCGCCGCGCGACGATGCGGTGACTGCCGCCTTTGTTCGACGGCCAGCCAGAAGCCGCCGCTGCTGCCGCCCGGAGTAAATAGGGCACAGTGCGTGTGTGTGGCTGTGTGTGTGTGGCTGTGTGTGTGTGTGGCTGTGTGTGTGTGGCTGTGTGTGTGTGGCTGTGTGTGTGTGGCTGTGTGTGTGTATGGCTGTGTGTGTGTGGCTGTGTGTGTGTGTGTGTGGCTGTGTGTGTGTCTGTGTGTGTGTGGCTGTGTGTGTGTGTGGCTGTGTGTGTGTGGCTGTGTGTGTGGCTGTGTGTGTGTGGCTGTGTGTATGTGGCTGTGTGTGTGTGGCTGTGTGTGTGTGGCTGTGTGTGTGTGTGGCTGTGTGTGTGTGTGGCTGTGTGTGTGTGTGGCTGTGTGTGTGGCTGTGTGTGTGTGGCTGTGTGTGTGTGGCTGTGTGTGTGTGGCTGTGTGTATGTGGCTGTGTGTGTGTGGCTGTGTGTGTGTGTGGCTGTGTGTGTGTGTGGCTGTGTGTGTGTGTGGCTGTGTGTGTGTGTGGCTGTGTGTGTGTATGGCTGTGTGTGTGTATGGCTGTGTGTGTGTGGCTGTGTGTGTGTGTCTGTGTGTGTGGCTGTGTGTGTGTGTGTGGCTGTGTGTGTGTGGCTGTGTGTGTGGCTGTGTGTGTGGCTGTGTGTGTGTGGCTGTGTGTGTGTGGCTGTGTGTGTGTGTGGCTGTGTGTGTGTCTGTGTGTGTGGCTGTGTGTGTGTGTGGCTGTGTGTGTGTGTGGCTGTGTGTGTGTGTGTGTGGCTGTGTGTGTGGCTGTGTGTGTGGCTGTGTGTGTGTGGCTGTGTGTGTGTGTGTGGCTGTGTGTGTGTGTGGCTGTGTGTGTGTGTGGCTGTGTGTGTGTGTGTGTGGCTGTGTGTGTGTGTGGCTGTGTGTGTGGCCGTGGGGAGCGGGAGTAATTCGGTTAGCGCGCTGCGCTATGAACCCGGGGACCCGGGTTAGATTCTCGCTCACGGCCAACACCAATGACGATCATCTGAACCGGTCTTGGGCCTCCCCCTACGTCTCAAATGAGCACCTGCTGCGGTGTGTGAACATCGCCACTGGGGAGACAAAGGTGGCCAGGCGGGCGTGGTGTTGGCCACCCACCCCCTCGTGTGCCGCGCCAGCCTTCATAGACGCCGCTACTCGCTAAAGGCACTTGCCCCCAAACAGTTTGTTTCGGGCTGTCCGGCGGAATCTTTGTCTCTGTGGGGGGAGCGACCAGGTGCAGCCTCACAATCGGGAGAAGAGGGGTTATTGGTCTGTGCGAGGACGTTCCACAGCAAAGCAAAGTCGGCAGCCGCCCGCAAAGCTTCGGTGTCGGGTTAGTAGGAGTGCATTCCCGGGGGGGAGAAAAAAAACCACAAACACGGACGTTGCCGCTCGGGGCACACGAAGAAGCCAACGTCCAAGCGTTTACATACTGTGATTTTGGCAAATCTCAATATCCCCCACGGCTGAAAGGAAAGACAACAACAACGGTGATCAGTTTAACACGTTGCAGGGCTTTGGCAACTAATATTATTATTAATAATGGTGTTTTTGGGTTAGGTCGTGCAAGTATAGTGCAGTGTACAGTAGTGTATATTGTAGTGTACTACTTCAGCCCACCGGTGTGTTGGAGAGTGAATGCACAACATTGACAATTTGATTACCCCGTGACGTTTCGCTGGCAATTACATGAACCAGCACCAAATTAGTCGTAAATAATTGGCACGTTTTGTTTGCGTGACAAACCTTACTGGCTGTGTCGGATGGTGGAGGGTTCACGAAAAACATTAGCACTCACACGATCTAACCCAAAAACCTCTATTATGAACAATAATAATAATACTGTGGTTATTATTACTATTACTACAGAATGTGTCACGGGGTGAGCGTTATAAGGGAACGCATTTTTTTCTTAGAACGCGGATACGAAACGGAACTTCGTCGCGCGAGTAAGAATAAGCGGTCGCAACGGCCGCCTCGGCGTAGCGTCGTCATCATCGTCGTCGTCTTCGTCGTCTTCGTCGTCTTCGTCGTCGCACGAGGCATTGGGATGCTCCTGGATGCTTCTAGACGCTACCCACGCGCCCCGGCCCTTTTTTCAGGCCCCCGCGTTACGCATCTCACGGCGCTAGCTACCACGGACCGCCTCCGTACCCCCTACGCTATACGTCACTTATTTATCAGAACGCTCAAGGAACACGTCGCCGTGAGCGAAGGACAGAACGGCCACGGTTACGGATGCGGTGTGCCCGCTCGTGCCGCGTTGTTTCCGGGGCGCGACATCCCGACGTCTCGGGTCCGCTCGGCGAACACGGGCGATGACGATGACCTTAGGCGCCCGGGTCACCGTTCGCTTCTGCCACTTGAGTCGCCCTAAACTCTGCGCTTGACGTGACGCCGTTCGAGCTGTGAGATTCCGACGAGGACGTCAGTCCGACTCGAGAGCGAAGACTTCTCGCCCGTGCGGCAGAGCGAGGCGGAAGAGTGCTGCCCTCTACTGGGGTGCCAGGACCGGAGCGTCGCTTGAAGGAGGGGAAGGGATCTCGGCGGTAGCTCCGTGACATCCGCTTCCGCGGGCAGTTCTGTGCAGATCGGGGTGGTCACCTGAAGAAGGGGATCTCAGAGGTAGCTCTGTGATAGCCACATCCGCGGGTTCTGTTCTGAGTGGACCGGAGCGTCACTTGAAGGAGAAGAAGAGTGGATCTCAGAGGTAGCGGCAGCAGATCGTTTAATTCTGCAGTGCGGGTGACGATGATGACAATGACGATGATGACGATGATGATGAAGATGATAACGATGACGACAGTGATGGTGATGTTGTTGATGACGATGATGTCGATGATGACGATGATGTCGATGACGACGGCGAAGGCTACCACAGAGACACAACGCCTGGCAGTGAGCACGGTCCCGGGCCTCGGAGGAGGAAGAGGAGTCGGGCGAGGGTGAGGAGGTGGTGAGTGGCGCTGTGTTCCAGGTGAGTGGGTGAGGCGAGTGGCTCTGCGTCACCTTGTTGGCGTTTTTCAGGTGATCGTAGTAAACCTCCTGGATGGCCTGGAAGTAAATGACTCCCTTCAGCTTGGCTTCGTGTTTGTCTGCGTAGGACACGGGGACGCACAGAGGGGACGGAGACGGCACGATGAGAGAGATAAAGATCCCCCCGTGTAGCCTGTAGCCGACCGTCGGGGCAAGTGCTGCTAGCGAGCGGGCATCACCGACGGAGGGCGGCACGGCGCACGAGGAGGAGGAGGAGGAGGTGTGGGAGGAGCCACCGCGGCCTGGGCCGCCTCTGTCAATGGCGGCGACGACAACAACAACAACGACAACAAGAAGGACAAGAAGGAGGCTAACAGCGTCGCGTGCACGCCGACCCACCGGCGTAGTAGGCCAGCGTGCGCTTGTTGCGGTCGAAGACGAACCAGCGCTTGCGCCACGTCTTGATCTTGCCGCCCATCTTGGTGAGGAGGCCGCGGCACGTCTTGGCGGTGAGCGCCACGTGGCGGCACGTCTCCACGCCGTGGCCCGCCGCCTCCACGTGGCCACGAAGGTCAAAGTCCTCCTTGCGCACCGGCAAGTAGCGGGTCAGCGGGCGGGACTGCTCACGGAGAGACGGGGGGGGGTAGGGGGAGGGGTGGGGGGAGGGGTGGGGGGAGGGGGGTGGGGTGGAGGGAGTGGGTGCAAGGAGGGGGGGTGGGGGGAGGGGTGGGGGGTGGGGTGGAGTGGGTGGGGAAAGGGTGGGGGAGAGTTGGGGGAGGGAGGGGGGTGGGGGGAGGGGGTGGGGGAAGCGGTGGAGGGAGGGGGTGGGGGAGGGAGCGTGGTAGGGGGGACGGAGGGTGGAGTTGGTGGGGATGAGGGGGTGGGGGGGAGACAGGAAGGGGGTGGGGGAATGGAGGGGGGGAGAGGGGTTGGGGAGGGAGGTGGTGGGGAGGGAATGGGGGGTGGTAGGGGAGGAGGGGGTGCAGGGAGGGAGGGGGGGGAGGGAGGGAGGTGGGTGGGTGGTAGAGGGGGAGGACGATGGGGGGGGGGGTCACAATGGTTATTTAGACTACGGGATGAGAAACCCGATGGCCTGTGAAGCTCTTTGTCACCCATGTCGAGTAGGGGCACGGGCTGAGTGTGCTGGAGAGACTGGTTGTTGGACAAACTCTTACAGCCGCATTGCAGCAGCAGAGCAGCAGCAGCAGCAGAGCAGCAGCAGAGCAGCAGCAGCAGCAGCAGAGCAGCAGCAGCAGCAGAGCAGCAGCAGAGCAGCAGAGCAGCAGCAGAGCAGCAGCAGCAGCAGAGCAGCAGCAGCAGAGCAGCAGCAGAGCAGCAGAGCAGCAGCAGCAGCAGCAGAGCAGCAGCAGCAGCAGAGCAGCAGCAGAGCAGCAGAGCAGCAGCAGAGCAGCAGCAGCAGCAGGAGCAGCAGCAGCAGAGCAGCAGCAGAGCAGCAGAGCAGCAGCAGAGCAGCAGCAGCAGCAGAGCAGCAGCAGCAGCAGAGCAGCAGCAGCAGAGCAGCAGCAGCAGCAGAACAGCAGCAGGAGCAGCAGCAGAGCAGCAGCAGCAGAGCAGCAGCAGCAGAGCAGCAGCAGCAGCAGCAGCAGAGCAGCAGCAGAGTAGCAGTAGGAGCAGCAGCAGCAGCAGAGCAGCAGCAGCAGCAGCAGAGCAGCAGCAGGAGCAGCAGCAGCAGCAGGAGCAGCAGCAGCAGAGCAGAGCAGCAGCAGAGCAGCAGCAGGAGCAGCAGCAGCAGCAGCAGCAGAGCAGCAGCAGGAGCAGCAGCAGCAGCAGGAGCAGAGCAGCAGCAGCAGCAGGAGCAGAGCAGCAGCAGCAGCAGAGCAGCAGCAGGAGCAGCAGCAGCAGCAGCAGCAGAGCAGCAGCAGCAGCAGAGCAGCAGCAGGAGCAGCAGCAGCAGCAGCAGCAGAGCAGCAGCAGAGCAGCAGCAGCTTCTTGCGATATCGCCGAAGGCGGTGCGGTAGCTTAGTAGCACAGTTTGGTACTGACACCCCATTCTTGTAGCGCCGATGCCAAGTGTGTATGTTCATTGTGGACGTGTGTATGTGTGTATGTGTATGCGTGTAGTGCATGCTGAACTTCTTTCGCACCGTACGTAGCCAACCGCGCTAATCGGAGGTGCGGGCGGAAGGATAAACTAACAACAACAACAACAGGCTGTTGTAAAGAATTTAGTTTGTCTATACGTGCGAGTCTGTGGGGCTCTATGTGAGTCTGTGGGTCTCTGTGTGAGTCTGTGGGTCTCTATGTGAGTCTGTGAGTCTCTATGTGAGTCTGTGGGTCTCTATGCAAGTCTGTGGGTCTCTATGTGAGTCTGTGGGTCTCTGTGTGAGTCTGTGGGTCTCTATGCAAGTCTGTGGGTCTCTATGTGAGTCTGTGGGTCTCTATGTGAGTCTGTGGGTCTCTATGCGAGTCTGTGGGCCTCTATGTGAGTCTGTGGGTCTCTTTGTGAGTCTGTGGGTCTCTATGTGAGTCTGTGGGTCTCTATGTGAGTCTGTGGGTCTCTATGCGAGTCTGTGGGTCTTTGCGAGTCTATGGGTCTATGTGAGTCTGTGGGTCTCCGTGTGAGTCTGTAGGTCTCTATGTGAGTCTGTGGGTCTCTATGTGAGTCTGTGGGTCTCTATGTGAGTCTGTGGGTCTCTATGCGAGTCTTTGCGAGTCTCTGGGTCTATGTGAGTCTGTGGGTCTCTATGTGAGTCTGTGGGTCTCTATGTGAGTCTGTGGGTCTCTATGGGAGCATGTGAGTCTCTATGCGAGTCTGTGGGTCTCTATGCGAGTCTGTGAGTCTCTATGTGAGTCTGTGGGTCTCTATGCAAGTCTGTGGGTCTCTATGCGAGTCTATGGTTCTCTATGTGAGTCTGTGGGTCTCTATGTGAGTCTGTGGGTCTCTATGCGAGTCTTTGCGAGTCTCTGGGTCTATGTGAGTCTGTGGGTCTCTATGTGAGTCTGTGGGTCTCTATGTGAGTCTGTGGGTCTCTATGGGAGCATGTGAGTCTCTATGCGAGTCTGTGTGTCTCTATGGGAGTCTGTGAGTCTCTATGTGAGTCTGTGGGTCTCTATGCAAGTCTGTGGGTCTCTATGCGAGTCTATGGTTCTCTATGCGAGTCTGTGGGTCTCTGTGCGAGTCCGTGGGTCTCTATGCGAGTCTGTGGGTCTCTACGTGAGTCTGTGGGTCTCTATGTGAGTCTGTGGGTCTCTATGTGAGTCTGTGGGTCTCTATGCGAGTCTGTGGGTCTTTGCGAGTCTCTGGGTCTATGTGAGTCTGTGGGTCTCTATGTGAGTCTGTGGGTCTCTATGTGAGTCTGTGGGTCTCTATGGGAGTATGTGAGTCTCTATGCGAGTCTGTGGGTCTCTATGCGAGTCTGTGGGTCTCTATGGGAGTCTGTGAGTCTCTATGTGAGTCTGTGGGTCTCTATGCAAGTCTGTGGGTCTCTATGCGAGTATATGGTTCTCTATGCGAGTCTGTGGGTCTCTGTGCGAGTCCGTGGGTCTCTATGCGAGTCTGTGGGTCTCTACGTGAGTCTGTGGGTCTCTATGCGAGTCTGTGGGTTTCTACGTGAGTCTGTGGGTCTCTATGTGAGTCTGTGGGTCTCTATGTGAGTCTGTGGGTCTCTGTGTGAGTCTGTGAGCCTCTTACGCGAGTCTGTGGGTCTCTATGGGAGTCTGTGGGTCCGTACGTGGCCACCCGCGCTAACCGCTCTCTCCCCGCCTCTCCCCTCGTGTGTGTCTCCTGTTACGCCCCCCCCCACACCCCCACTCACTCACCTGCTGCACGGCGTGCGCGTCCCTGAGCCTCACGTCAGCCCCACGCGACGACCCCCCGCCCGGGCCCCCCCCTCCCCCCCACGACGGGGGCCCCCCCGCGTCCCCCCCACCCCGGGGGGGGGCGCCTCCCCCACCCCCCGCGCCGGCGAGGAGGCGCCGCTGCCGCTCCGTCTCGTCCCGGAGCTGCGCCTCCACGCGCTCGCGACGTCGTCGCTCGAGCTCCAGCGCACGCCGGCGCTCCTCCGTCTCGCGCTCCTGCTCGGGGCGGGGGGCCGCGGCATTAGCATCGGCGGTGGGTGGTGGGTGGGTAGTGGGTGGGTGGGTGAGTGGTGGGTGAGTGGGTGAGTGGGTGAGTGAGTGGGTGAGTAAGTGGGTGGGTGAGTGAATGGGTGAGTGGGTGAGTGAATGGGTGAGTGGGTGAGTGAGTGGATGAGTGGGTGAGTGAGTGGGTGGGTGAGTGAATGGGTGAGTGAATGCGTGTGTGGGTGAGTGAATGGGTGAGTGGGTGATTGAGTGAGTGGGTGAGTGAGTGAGTGGGTGAGTGAGTGGGTGAGTAAGTGGGTGGGTGAGTGAATGGGTGAGTGGGTGAGTGAATGGGTGAGTGGGTGAGTGAGTGGATGAGTGGGTGAGTGAGTGGGTGGGTGAGTGAATGGGTGAGTGAATGCGTGTGTGGGTGAGTGAATGGGTGAGTGGGTGATTGAGTGAGTGGGTGAGTGAGTGAGTGGGTGAGTGAGTGGATGGGTGAGTGGGTAAGTGAATGGGTGAGTGGGTGAGTGAGTGGGTGAGTGAGTGAGTGAGTGTATGGGTGAGTGGATGGGTGAGTGGGTGAGTGAATGGGTGAGTGGGTGAGTGAGTGGATGAGTGGGTGAGTGAGTGGGTGGGTGAGTGAGTGGGTGAGTGAGTGGATGGGTGAGTGAATGGGTGAGTGAATGGGTGAGTGGGTGAGTGAGTAGGTGACTGAATGAGTGAGTGGGTGAGTGGATGAGTGAACGGATGAGTGAGTATAGGTGAGTGAGTGGGTGAGTGAGTGGATGAGTGAGTGGGTGAGTTAGTGGGTGAGTAAGTGAGTGAGTGGATGAGTGAGTGGGTGAGTTGGTGAGTGGATGGCTGAGTGGATGGGTGAGTGGGTGAATGGGTGAGTGAGTGAGTGAGTGGGTGAGTAAGTGGGTGGGTGAGTGAATGGGTGAGTGGGTGAGTGAATGGGTGAGTGGGTGAGTGAGTGGATGAGTGGGTGAGTGAGTGGGTGGGTGAGTGAATGGGTGAGTGAATGCGTGTGTGGGTGAGTGAATGGGTGAGTGGGTGATTGAGTGAGTGGGTGAGTGAGTGAGTGGGTGAGTGAGTGGATGGGTGAGTGGGTAAGTGAATGGGTGAGTGGGTGAGTGAGTGGGTGAGTGAGTGAGTGAGTGTATGGGTGAGTGGATGGGTGAGTGGGTGAGTGAATGGGTGAGTGGGTGAGTGAGTGGATGAGTGGGTGAGTGAGTGGGTGGGTGAGTGAGTGGGTGAGTGAGTGGATGGGTGAGTGAATGGGTGAGTGAATGGGTGAGTGGGTGAGTGAGTAGGTGACTGAATGAGTGAGTGGGTGAGTGGATGAGTGAACGGATGAGTGAGTATAGGTGAGTGAGTGGGTGAGTGAGTGGATGAGTGAGTGGGTGAGTTAGTGGGTGAGTAAGTGAGTGAGTGGATGAGTGAGTGGGTGAGTTGGTGAGTGGATGGCTGAGTGGATGGGTGAGTGGGTGAATGGGTGAGTGAGTGAGTAAGTGGGTGAGGAAGTGAGTGACTTTGTAACTTTTGTGGCCAAACCGTATATATGTTTTGGTTCTTTAAAGGCCACACACACCACACCACATACACGTACACCACACACACACATGTACACCACACACACACCACACACACACCACATACACGTACACCACACACACACATGTACACCACACACACACACCACACACACACCACACACACGTACACCACACGTACACGCACGCACGTATACATATAGCCGTACGTATATAACTAATTAGCGCGGTTGAGTTCAGCATACGTACAAAGACAAAGTCACTCTCTGAGTGACTTTAAATTCACCTTCATCTCCAAGAGCCTCGCCTTCTCCACCTGCGCCTCCCTCAACATCCGCTCCATCTCCTCCAGACGCACCGTGTCCATGCCGCTCGCACTGACGCACGCACACACAGACACAGAACCCCCCGCCCCCCGGTGCAGCCTCAACAGACTGTTGGGGCAAGAGCCGTTCGCGGGCAGCACCTATAAATGCCGGCAGTGTGGCACACGAGGGGGTGGGTGGCCAGCACCACGCCCGGCTGCGTTTGTCTCCTCAGTGGTGTGGTTACACCCCGCAGATACAATGCACCCACCATTACCACGACCACTCTCACCACCGCCACCACTTCCACCAGCAGCACCACCACCACCACCTCCACCACTGCCACCACCGCCGGCACCACCTCCATCATTACCACCACCGCCGCCGCCTCCACCGCCGCCGCCGCCACCACCTCCACTGCCGCCACCTCCACCACCACCTCCACCACCACTGCCGCCACCTCCACCACCACCACCGCCACCTCCACCACCACCACCACCACCGCCGCCACCACCACCACCGTCTCCACCACCACCGCCACCACCTCCGCCACCACTACCGCCACCACAACCACCACAGCCACCACCACCACCACAGCCACCACCACCACAGCCACCGCTTCCACCACCACCACCGCCACCGCCTCCACCACCAGCTTCAAACGTAAGGAGCGACCGAGCGACCGAGCGTCTGTGCGGTGGCGGCGTTCAGAGCCAACGCCGTCGATCGGCTTCACAAAAGCCGCTGGACCGGTCTCGCCGATCCTGGCACGCGGAGAACCGCCCTGACGTCGGATTGTGTCGTCGGATTGCGTTTGGTTGCGGGGTTATTCGATTGTTTAGACAATGACGACGATTCTCCTGCTCGAGCCAAGCTGTACGGGGTACAAAGACAAAGATCCCCCATGTAGCCCTGAACAAACTGCTAGGGCAAGTGCTGTTAGACAGTCGCGAGGAGCACCTATGAAGGCCTGCACTGTCACACGAGGGGGTGGGTGGCCGGCACCACGCCCGACCGCCTTTGTCTCCCCAGGTGGCGACGTTTACTACACACCGCACCGGGTACTCATTTGAGGCCGAGTCGACCTAGGGGAGGCTCAAAATCGGTTCAGATGCTCGTCAGCGGGGTCGGCTGGGGTCCTCTGGCGGGTTCCGGAGCTATCCGCAGCGCCACCGACACATGAACCGGGGCGGCCGCGCCAGGCTAGGTGCACCACACCTGGACATGGCATCGGGCGAGCACTGCGAGTTGGCGTTGGAGACGCTCGTGTCCATGCTGTCGGAGCTCTCCAGGCTCAGCGTGTCGTAGGCCCCTCCACCACCGCCCACTCTACCCCCCGCCCCGCCACCACCGTTCCCCAGCAGCTCCTCCACCACCATCGCGGCAGCCGCCGCCGCCGCCTCCTCCACCTCCTCCTCCTCCTCCTCGGCGCATCCCCTGGACGACGACGAGGTGGGCGACGAGGGCAGCGCGTGGAGGGCTGCCCACTGCGTCTGGGCCTCGGCCGCGGCCCGAAGCCTCAGGTCGGCCAGGCGTCGCCGCTGCTCTTCGATCACCTGGTGCCCTGTGGGGGGGTGGGAGGGAGGGGGCGCCACGGTGGCTGTGAGATGTTAACTACCTCGCCTGGTTTGCAGGAGGTCGTGGCTTCGATCCTGACCCTGACGATGTCTGCTGCTGTATATTGGAGTCTCTCTCTCTCTCTCATCATCATCACGGTGGCTATGAGATGTTAACTACCTCGCCTGGTCTGCAGGAGGTCGTGGCTTCGATCCTGACCCTGACGATGTCTGCTGCTGTATATTGGAGTCTCTCTCTCTCTCTCATCATCATCACGGTGGCTATGAGATGTTAACTACCTCGCCTGGTCTGCAGGAGGTCGTGGCTTCGATCCCGACCCTGACGATGCCTACTGCTGTATATTTGGAGTTTGCGACTCTCTCTCCCCGTGGTCGCGTGGATTTAATCTCCGGGTCGTCCGGTTTTTCCCTCCATATTTACAATGATGATGATAAGCCCACTTCGTTGAGCTGTAATTTGTGATATCCAGGTCGTATTCTTTGGTTCTTTCGGCAAAGTCACGGAGATAGAACAAAAAGCGCTACACAAGCGGTGTGTTGCGGTCATGACCGCTTGCATGGCGATCGAAACGTCGTGGATTTTGTTCTATCTACGTGACTTTACCGAAATAACCAAAGAATATGAATTCCTGCAGTCACGAAAGTTTTAAGTCAAAATATAGTGAGGTCGCTTCTGAAAAAGAGCTACATATTCTTAGTTCTTTCGGTAAAGTCACGTTGAAGGGAAACAACAAAATAATAAAATATATATAAAACAATAAAAATTCTCACGACGTTTCGACCATAACACAAACGGTCGTCTTCAGGTGTGTTGGTTTGCATAAATTTATTTTTAAACGGTGCATTTATTTATTTATAAAAAACGTTAGCGCCACGCGCAGCGATTTGGCAGTTTATTTAGGATTAGTCCATCTATATTCTGAAAAGAGGAGGGGGGAGAGGAATTTTTTTTTGTATGCTGTCTGAAAGCCACTGTAAGCGTGAACAATCAATTAAGACCTGAAATGGTTTATCAAATCTTTCCAATGATTGCTAAGATAGAATCCATCTTCTCGGTTGAAATTGTCTCTGTGCTTGTATATGTGGATAGCCTCATGAACGAATCTCTCATGGTAGCCAGATGGCTTACAAAGAACCTCTGTCTTGGAAAAGTCAATGGCATGTGAGCCTACTGAATTATAACAATGATCTGCCACGGCCGAGGTGTTGGTCCTACCGTGTTTAAGGTCTGCTTTGTGTTCACGAATGCGGTCCGAGACATGGCATTTGGTTTCTCCAATGTAACTACTACCACAGAGGCAACTTAGTTTGTAGACACCAGGGTATTGTATGTCCGGAATCACATCTTTTACAGACGGAACCAGATCACGGATTTTATGTAATGTGTTAAAACGGACCTGGATCTTGTGTTTATTCAAGATTTTTGAGATCGTTTTGTGATCCCCGCAATGTAGGGTAAAGTGATGGTTTTGAAAGGCTCCTCAAGAGGGTCCTTCTTCATGGTTTGAGTGATAGCTTTGCGGATTGTATAGTCGGAGTAACCATTAGCCTTAAGAGCTTGGTGTACGTGCTTGAGTTCACTGCCTATGTGTTCCTGGTCGGATATGCATTGGGCTCTATGATACAGAGTCTTGATGAGAGAATTCTTCTGTGATGGATGGTGGTGGGAATCCGGTTTCAGATAAGCATCCGTATGGGTAGCTTTCCTGTAGACAGAGTGGCTCATTGAACCATCAGGTCTCTTTTTAATTAGGACATCCAAAAAAGGTAGCTTGCCATCTATTTCGACTTCCATGGTAAATCTGATGGCTGGGTGTATGGAATTGATGTGGTCGAAGAATTGGTCTAGAGCAGGCCGGCCATGTGGCCAGATGACAAAAGTGTCATCCACGTACCTCTTCCATAAGGTTGGGCGCAGAGTGGCAGTCTGGATGGCGTCAGTCTCCAATTTCTCCATGAAAATGTTAGCTATAACCGGAGAAAGGGGGGAGCCCATTGGGGTGCCCTCAGTTTGTTTGTAGAAAGTTCCATTCCAAGTGAAGTATGTATTGGTTAAACAGTGTCTCACCAGGGGGGGTACCTCAGTGTTTAGTCCTTGATGAACCAAGTCTTCAATGATTGCAATGGTGTCAGGTACAGGAACCTTGGTGAATAAGGAAACTACATCAAAACTGACAAGCAGGTCGTCTGGGGACAGGGAAATACCCTTGATTGTCGATACCAGGTGAGTAGAATTTTGTACCGCAGAGGTGGTCTTTCCAGTGAAAGGACGCAGGATTTCAGACAAAAAACGAGCTAGTTTGTAGGTGGGGGAGCCGATAGTAGAGACTATGGGACGAAGGGGTGTATCTACTTTATGTATTTTTGGTAAGCCGTATAATCTTGGTGGCCTGGCAGCAGAAGGTTTCAACTAAAACTGTTTAGATTGATCAATTAATGCGGCTGAATCAGAAATTATTTTGTTGGTTTGTGTGACGAGGCTGTTGGTGGGATCTCTTTTTATTTTTGTATAACTACCATCGTCGAATAATTCTTTAATTATGTTGTTGTATTCTATTTTATCCATGATGACAGTAGCATTGCCTTTGTCAGCTGAGAGGACTACAATATCATTCCTCTTTTTTAATTTATATAATTCAAAACGCTCATCTTTGCTGAGGTTGCTAGCTGGCATCTTAGCGTTTTTGAGGGTTGCAGCGATTTCAGATCTTGCTACGTCTGCAGCGATGTGACCCAGGCCCCTGAGAGCAACGTCTAAGAGCTACATAGCTCAGTGGGGCCTTACCTGGTAAAATAGAAAACAGTTTGTAGTTTGTGTTGAACCAATGTAATTATGCACTCCCAGAAGATAGGCCATGCTGTGGCTGAAGGTATCTGTAAAATACACTCGAATGTTTTTTTTATGTTCAGGAACAACTGCCACTCGGCCTCGCACCCCAGAAAAGCCTTACCTTTTTCCTGGAAGGTCTGCTGCCGCTTGTTCTCTATCTCCTGCAGGGTGGCCTTCAGGTTACGGGGCAGGCTGTTGGTGCCCAGCTGGGCCAACACAGAGGACTGTTCAACAGAAATGTCCGCAAAAAAAGTAATTCAGATAATGAACAGAGTGTTTGGGATTTGCAAATACAACTAAATAGCAAGGTAATAAGTCTGATTTTTAAAATGTGAAGATTATATATGAAGAATTCTAAAAACATTTCAAGAGCCGTGTTGTCAAGTTACGTATGTAAGCTGATCTTCTTCTGCACCATACGTAGCCAACCGTGCCAATCTGCTCACATCATTTTTATTATTCATGGGGGAGCGTTAGTTGTGTTATGAAGCACAGATTAATTATTATGAATAACTATTTACTTCATGCTTTTACACAGGAAAGCCTTCACGAGTTATAAAAAAAAACGGTTTCAGCTATCTCAATCCTCTAACCCCTAAGGCAGACACCCCCTGGCTCCAGAGTACAGAAATTTATCTTAAGATTTGTCCCAAGTCTGGCAGGCTACGCTTGCAGTACAATCACAAATGTCGTAGGAGAAAACGGATCGTAAGTCGAAGTACATACGAGAGTCATAGTGAGATCATCATTCTCGCTCTCCGAACAGTTGTTGCTAGGGATTGCATCATCACTGCCACTGCACCAGCCAATCAGCTGCGCCGGAAAATAACCCCCCAGGCAACATGGCCGACATGGCGTCTCCCAGGCAACACAGCCGCCATCATTTCACGACTCCATGTGCTTTGGCTGAGGTAATATGATATTATAAAAGTTTGTTAACATTTAAATTATAATAAATTATTGATATCTTCTTGGTTCTTTCGGTAAAGTCACGATGACAAAGTCACGTGACTTTACCGAAAGAACCAAGAAGATTAATCCTTGCAGTCACGAAAGCTTTAAATCGAAAAATTGTTAATATTTACATTCTATTATTATTATTAGCGCTTGAAATCCACTTGCACATTTTCCTGCCCAATCATGAGATTTCTCGTAGCTCAACCCGTAACCATCTTATCTTATCTCAAACCGATCTTACGACACTGCAACGATGTTGTCACTCGTTCTGTACTCTGGCCCCTGGGTATGAATCCAGGTTTCTCAGTGATGCTGGCTAAGTGTCTCTGGCCAGGTCATTAAGATTCCATGGACCAAGAGATGCCCAAAATGTCAGCGGTACTGGCCCAGTGTGTCTCTGACACAGCCACTATGAACCTCCTGAGAGAGAGAGAGATACATACCCCAATCCCAGGGGTTGAACCCAGGGTCTCAGCAGTGCTGGGTTCAAAGGCCCCCCCCCCGTGTCCCCCACAGGGCAAATTTGGCATGACGACACTGGCATGATACAAAGTTGATCCACTATGCAGATAGCTCAGCAGCCTACTTGCTGTACTGCTACCTCTTACGGTCACCGGCTCACAATCGGGCACTTTGGAAAGACAAGTTCACGCATGATCTCATCGGCTCACAAGTGACGACATCACATTCACGCCACTCTATTTAAGACCGAAACAGACGGATGTGTCCACAATTCCGGCCGTCGCCTCATGAGGTTGGTTGTTGTTGTTGTTGCTGTGATTACCGGCGAAACGTCACGGCTACTCGAATTGTACATTTTGTGGTGGGTTTACTCTCCAACACACAACCGGTGAGTGCGGAACTAGTAACAAATTGTCACGTTTTGTTCGCGTGAAAAAACCCTTACTGATTGTTTGTCGGGCGGTGGCGGCGGGCGTGACGACACGTTTATATTTACGCGATCTACCCCCCCCAAAAGAACCCCTCCATCATGGCGGATGACGTGCCACGCAGAAAGATGACATCACGCCGTAAGGACGTCACATCGCCTTGGGCGCCAGGGATGAATACATTTAGATCGGGTTTTTTTCTTCATATATACACACACACATATATATCCCAGTTTTTTTAGGCAAGATCTTTGATCCCATCCGGAAAAGCCAATCCCAACTTTACACTAAACTCTCTCTTCACATAGGATCTTCTTTACAAGAGTTCAAAGTTAAAGCAACCCCTACCCCCCCCCCCCAGCGGCGACTGCGCCAGGCCAGGTGGTACTTGCGAGGCCAGTCGCATGGAAGGCGTGGGAGACGGCTCTCCGCTTGTAAGAAGTCACCGGCCAGACGCAGGGTGGCTTTGGGTTGGACCGACCGTGATGACGGGCCGGGGCGCGATCTGCGCTCCTCCCCGCTGCCGTGCCAACTTTTCGTGATGGACTCGGCGGAAGGCGCTATGACGTTTCAGGAGTCGTCATCGTCGTCCGCAATAGTTTATGCGCAGGCAGGAGGGGGCGATGTGTTGCGTGCGTGCATAATCCCAAACGAGTAACTTCTTGGTAATTAAAAAAACAATCGGTAAATTCGGAGCGCGACATCGGCACGCAACGGCCTACGCACGTCGAGCGGCGTCGACGTGGGATGTGTAACGTCCGCTGCGAGTGGTTATTTTACCGTGAATAATGCACCGCGGTATTAAACCAGGGTGGCCCGTCTGATTCAAACCTAAGTTTTATTTTACTGCGTAGAGGCGCCACTGAGAATATGTAGCTATTTTTTCAGACGCGACTCGGCTATCACAAATGTCTGATCAACGAAGTGGCTTATCATCATCATCATCACGTGGAAATTCATAGCAGCCAAATACTCGAATGGCATGATGTCGATTCCAAATGTGGAGGGAAAAATCGGAGGACCGGGAACAAAATCCACCCAACCACGGGGAGAGAGAGAGAGAGACGCCAGCTCCAAATATACAGCAGGCATCAGGGTCTGGATCGAATCCACGACCTCCTGTATACCAGGCGAGGTAGTTAACATCTCCTCGCCACCGTGGTGATGATGAGAGAGCGAGAGACGCAAACTACAAATATACAGCAGCAGGTGTCAGGGTCGGGATCGAACCCACGACCTCCCGTCCACCAGGCGAGGTAGTTAACATCTCCTAGCCACCGCGACGCCCACGAACATCTGCAACGAGGGGCGAGCGCGCTACACCCCTGGGCCACGTCAGACGGGCGGGCAAGCGGTCGGAGGTAGCCAACACATGAAAATGCTTTCGACCCCCAAGTTGGGAAAACCCGGGGGGGGGGGAAGGGGGGGTACAGGAGTCGAACCTTGAGGCTGACGTTGCGGCCGAGCGTGGCGCTGCTGTAGGGGGTGCAGGGCGCGGAACTGGGGGCAGGGCGCCGGGATTTTTTCCCTTTTAGCCGGAGCGCCGATTCCCCGCTCACATCCAGCTGCTGGTCGGCGAAACACCAAGCGGACGTGGAGTTGGCAACCGCGGAATTTATTTTAAGAGTAAAAAAAATATTCCGTTTAACGTCCCCCTTTAGCCGCAAAGCCCCGGCAAAGCGTGCACGCGAGATAGGAGAGGCGGGATCAGCGGCCGTGAGCCGTGCTTGCTTGTACACTGGCCATGCGGCGTGCTCGTGAAAAGTCTTACACGGCGGCGGAGGGGGTGGGCGGGAATGGGAAGGCAACGGTCGCAGATAATTCCGAGACGACGGGGGCCCCCCCTAAACCACAATGCGGTTGCATTTTTTCGAGAGTTGGTGGTAGTCTAGACAAGGCTGGCAAGCATCCTGTACGTTGCAGTGGGGGGGGGGAGGGGGGGTTAACATGGCGTGCACGCAAGGCATGATGGGAACGATGACTCCCTGTTTCCCTGCGAGCGCAGCTTTTGCGCGCTGTTGCTGCAAAACGTTTAGACTTTTTATTTGATTTGTTTTCTATGTTTTTCTACTTTTTACATTTTTTTAAAGCTGAATATTGCGGAGCGGATTTGGGGACCCGTTGCAACTGCAGAGCGATCATTCCATTTTAGAATCGAGTTCTCGCGGAGAGTTTTAATTTGAAAGCGCCGGGTGCTAGAAAAGGAGGGGAGAGGTTCTTGCATTGGCCGACGTCACGAATTTCTACGCGCGTGAGCCTTTGAGGGTTTTACGTACGTTGAACTTATTTCGCACCACCCCGCGTAGCCAACCGTGGCTAATCGGAGGTGCGGGGGGGGGCAATTAGTTTGTCAATCTAGACGATGATGATTTACAAGTGCCATAGCTCCCAGTGGCTTCTTAATATCGGAAGGTAGGGCGTTTCAGACGGCCACCACAGAAGCGCATCTGAAAGCGCCACGCGACGACGCGGGTTACGCCCCGTGCCGTTCCGCGCGATGTCCGACGTTCCGCTCCCCAGGAAGCCGACAAAAACGAAACTCTTCCGCTCCTGAAGAGGCTCCTCCGGCACGCGTGCCGCGAAACGTCGGACACCGTGCAGAACGACGCGCGGACGAGCCGCCGGGTCCACCCCTAGGTGCGTCTGACCGTTGCCTGCGCGGGTTTAGACTTGAACAAACAAAAAGACTCAAAAACAAATAAAAGCGCGGTGCAGGAAAAAAATGCATGCGCACAGGAAACCCTAAGGCCTTGCAGACTGTGGCTGCCGAGCAAGGCCTCAATAGCCATTCGCGGGAAGGAGGCCTTGAAACCGAGACAATATTATCGTCCGTTTATCCTTTGCGAGGCAGCCAGACGCAAGCAATAGACAGCCAGGAAAACGGAAAAAAAAAACATTGGAGAATGCCCTTCATGCCAGTGTCGTACACCAAACTCAAAGTCTCTCCCGAGACACAATTTCCCCTCTTCCCGGTACTCGACAGGAAGTCGTGAAAGCCATGCGTTCGGGGGTGCATTCTGGGAAGGGGGACGAGGTGGTGCGCGGGGCGAACGCCCCGTGGTGAGAGCTGACGAGGCCGTGGTTGAAACTTCGGCATGCGACAACTCAACGATGACTCCACAACGTAGACAACACATCAGCATGTACTCAGTCTGTTCTCCTGCGTAACGCCGCGCGTTGTTTTTACAACGCCAATTGGGATGCAACGTGACGAATGTTGCATTAGGGGCACATTTTTTTCATCACGCGGATGCCAATTGGATATAGAACGCGATCGAGCGAAAGGAACTACGCCACGCGAGTAGTAATAAGCATATTCTTGGTTCTTTCGGTAAAGTCACGTTAGAAGGGAAACAAACAATAAAATTATCACGACGTTTCGACTGCAACACAAGCAATCATCATCAGGTGTGAAAACCACAGCAATATTTTTTTTTTCAAATTTTCCTGCTGTGGTTTTCACACCTGATGATGATTGCTTGTGTTGCAGTCGGAACGTCGTGAGAATTTTATTGTTTTATATTTTTATTATTTTATTGCTTCCGTTTTACCGAAAGAACCAAGAATATGACTCCCTGCAGTCACGAAAGCTTTAAATAAAAATTTAGTGTTAAGCGGTTGTGACGGCTGCCTCGGCGTAGCATCATCATCACACGAGGCATTGCGATGCTGCTGGATGCTTCTAGAAGCTATCCGCGCGCGCCTCGGTCCTTGCTCAGCCTGCGTCACGGATCTCACGCGTTATCGCGGACCGTGCTTTACCGCGATATTATTCATGATAACGCGATTGTCCCACATAACGCGATTGTTCCATGTGAACTTAACGACTACCGCCGCCACGTTAGAGGAGAACGGGCTGTACTCCGCTCGAGACCACTCGAGCACAGACTCGGCTGCCACCACTCACAGCCTAGTCACCATTGTCCTAGCGACGGCTGGGCTCCATGGTGTTGTTGCGTCGTGTTCGTTGTGGCAACGTTCACACTCCGGTGCCCCTTACTAGACATCCGTGCCAAAAGAGCTTCACAGCTCATCAGATTCCTCCTCCAGATTCTGACACCCAGGGCTCAGTACCGGCTCAAGTTAAGCACGGTGGTTGAGCTGGCTCGGTTGAACACAAGCCGTGAACAAGGAAAACCCAAGCTAAACCGAACTTATTAGCTGGAGACTCGTCTTCCAAGACGTCTGGAAGCTGCAGGGTGGTGGTTGGGTCGTCCCGTTTACCGTCGAATCTCTCGCGGAACGTGCGAGCAGGTTCAGCCTAGTTGCGCCGTTGTTTTTAAAGACGTTGTACTGTGCTCATCGCGGAGAACCGTAGCGACACAACCACCGCCGCCACTCTACGATAGCCGGCGACAAACTGGGGCCACACGTTCCCCTCCCGCCGCATGGCCTTGTGGGGGAGCCTCGGTACATGTATCGACCGGAAGACGTGCCAACGAAGTTATTTTATTTTAGTTTTTATTTCGATTCCGTTCCGATCATGTACACGTACGTCATCGGAGCGGATTGTACACATGTATAGTGACATCACTGGATGTCACCATGCTGTGGGTGTAGTATCGGCCCTAGAGGGGCATGGTGTGCGCTGAATAATAGCGCTGGACGGCACCACGATTTAAGTGCAGTGCCGACCCTACAGGACAGGGTGTGTGGGTGCCGACCGAAGGATGGAGTTGCGTGAGGCCATGGCACTCTGGTTGACCCGGGAGGACACGTGACCGGTCAAGTTGACAGAGGCGCCCCAAGAGGGGGCTAGGGGTGATCACGTGATTGGGACCCAGATCCTTCCCGAGGGTTCTGGAAGGTGGACGTGGCCAAGGGCGGAGCCGACCACGCCGCAGAGGATATCAGCCGGGTCCCGAGAGGGACCAGGGTTGTTGTTGTTCATCCTGGAAGAAACTCTTCGTCTACGATCTCCGTTCAACGAGTCTCCAACACGTGGACCCAGGTCGAAGTTGTTGGTCCTGGTCCGTAGTAGCAGTTACGTGGTAACTAGTGTAGCTAGCCTGGCGGTCACCACCCGGCTAACTACACCAGTCACGTGGTAATTAGTGTAGCTAGCCTGGCGGTCACCACCTGGCTAACTACACGAGTCACGTGGTAACTAGTGTAGCTAGCCTGGTGGTCACCACCTGGCTAGCTACACCAGTCACGTGGTAACTAGTGTAGCTAGCCTGGCGGTCACCACCTGGCTAGCTACACCAGTCACGTGGTAACTAGTGTAGCTAGCCTGGTGGTCACCACCTGGCTAACTACACCAGTGACGTGGTAACTAGTGTAGCTAGCCTGGTGGTCACCACCCGGCTAACTACACCAGTCACGTGGTAACTAGTGTAGTTAGCCTGGTGGTCACCACCATAGGTTGTTATTCTGTTAAGGGGACGTTACCTCGTGTGTTGGAACTGAATAAATGTGTTGCCTCCAAAGTCTACGTCTGCGACTCAGTTGAACCCATTACACATGTATACATACATACACTGTATACATACACACACAAGAGAAAGTGATGACGTACGCACACGTATGTCATCGGAACGGGAAATATTTAATAATAAGCGTTTACTCTTTCGCTGGAGTCCCTCCGTGATAGAAGAAGGGACTGGAACCCACCCAAGGCGGGCGTGACTGCCCGGTCGCTAACGACACCTTGGATTAGTCTTCTTTGGTTCTTTCGGTAAAGTCACGTAGAATGAGAATAAAATAATAAATTAAAGCCACTTGTGTTGTGGCCGAAACGTCGTGAGAATTTTATTGTGTCGGAAGACAGGTCTGTTCCTTTCACCTGAAGAAGGCCACTTGTGTTGTGGCCGAAACGTCGTGAAAATTTTATCGTGTTATTTTATTTTATTAATTTATTATTTTATTCTCATTCTACGTGACTTTACCGAAAGAACCGAAGAAGATTAATCCTTGCCGTCACGAAAGCTTTAAATCGAAACCTTGGATGAGACTAACATCCCCCCTTCTTCTGGCCTAAAGCTGAATTGAGGCTCAGTTGGAATGTCCGGACGTGGCTGAACCGAGCCGGTGTTGGGGGCAGCCAATAAGTGCGATGAGTAAGTACGGGGCCACCTTTAGTTTACAGCTGAGAGCCGAGGAGTTGGGTAACCAGCTAAGGTCCATTGAGGGATGGTGGGCTGAGTTTGACCCCCTGGGAGGGATGATGGGCTGAGTCGACCCCTGCCTAGAGGGATGATGGGCTGAGAGGACCCCCCGGAGGGATGATGGACTGAGTCGACCCCTCCCCGGAGGGATGATGGGCTGAGTCGACCCCCTGGGAGGGATAATGGGTTGAGTCGACCCTCTGGTTCAGACCGTCAATGCGACCTCCTGACGAGACTGATGTCCTCCTTTGTCCCCCCCCCACCCCTCCTTAGCCCTCCCCCGCCCACCCCCCCCCCGAATTGAATCACCTGATCAGCCGCCTCCTTCGATCCCCCGCGCTGCTTAGCGGGGAGCGGGGGCGGCGGGGGGATGGTTCTGGGGGGTCCAAACCCAGCGACACAATCGCTGTACCACCGCTCGGAGCCCAGCGGGGGGCACGGGGCCAGCGCACACTCACGTGGCTGTGTGTGGGTGTCGTGTGGGGGGTGTGTCGTGTGGGTGTGTGTCATGTGTGCGTGTGTATGTATGGGGTGTGTGTGTGTCGTGTGGGGTGTGTGTCGTGTGGAGTGTGTGTCGTGGGGTATGTGGGGTGTGTGTGTGGGGGTGTGGGGTGTGTGTGTGGGGGTGTGGGGCGTGTGTGTGTTGTGGGGTGTGTGTGTGTGGGGGTGTGGGGTGTGTGTGTGTGGGGGTGTGGGGCGTGTGTGTGTTGTGGGGTGTGTGTGTTGTGGTGTGTCGTGTGGGGTGTGTCGTGTGGGGTGTGTGGCGTGTCATGTGTGCGTGTGTATGTATGGGGTGTGTGTGTGTGTCGTGTGGGTGTGTGTCATGTGTGCGTGTGTCGTGTGGGGTGTGTGTGTGCGTCGTGTGGGGTGTGTAGTGCAGTGTGTGTAAAGTGAATGTGTATAGGTTATGTTTGGATGGTGTGTGTGTGTATAGCGCGGTGTGTATGTGTAGACACAATGTGTGTGTGGCGTAGCGTGTGTGGTGTAGCGTGTGTGGCGTATTGTGTGTGGCGTACCGTGTGTGGCGTAGCGTGTGGCGTATTGTGTGTGGCGTAGCGTGTGTGATGTAGTGTGTGTGGCGTATTGTGTGTGGCGTAGCGTGTGTGATGTAGTGTGTGTGACGTATTGTGTGTGGCGTAGCGTGTGTGGTGTAGCGTGTGTGATGTAGTGTGTGTGGCGTATTGTGTGTGGCGTAGCGTGTGTGATGTAGTGTGTGTGGCGTATTGTGTGTGGCGTAGCGTGTGTGATGTAGTGTGTGTGACGTATTGTGTGTGGCGTAGCGTGTGTGGTGTAGCGTGTGTGGTGTAGCGTGTGTGATGTAGCGTGTGTGGCGTAGCGTGTGTGGTGTTGCGTGTGTGGTGTAGCGTGTGTGATGTAGCGTGTGTGGCGTATTGTGTGTGGCGTAGCGTGTGTGGTGTAGCGTGTGGCATAGCGTGTGTGGCGTAGCGTGTGTGGCGTATTGTGTGTGGTGTAGCGTGTGTGATGTAGTGTGTGCGTTCACAGGGGTATGGCAAGCAAAGTGTCATGCTCAGTGTTGTTTTGTCGTGGGTGCATAAGGAACACAAAAGGAGAGGAAACAAGAGAAGAACACGCAATCAGGCAGAATAAACAACAACAAACAGGCAGAATAAACAACAACAAACAGGCAGAATAAACAACAACAACAACAACACGCAGGCAGAATAAACAACAACACGCCAGCAGGCAGAATAAACAACAACAAGGAGGCAGAATAAACAACGACAAGCAGATAGAATAAAGAAGTGAAGCGTTCACGGAGAGTATAGGCGCGGAAGATAAAGTCGCGTCCTGGCGGTGAGAATGCTAAAGGTGCTGCCCTGCAATTATTATTATTATTATTCGCTCACCCCACAAACTACTCTTCTACGCGGGGCAGATGCTTTTTTAAAGAGGAAAGAGCACCCACACTTTACCCCCCTCCCCCGCACGAGATTCGGTGAGGCTTATCTTCGTAAACGAGAGGATTAATTGTAATGCTAAGGTTGAATAACTAGGCCCCGGAATAGTCTGTCTTGCCTGCCCTCCCCTCTTGCCTAGACATCCGAGGCCATAGAAGTGACTCAAACTGGGCAGGGGGCCTAGGAAAGACTTGTGGCCTCCCACGAACTCTACGCATTCGTGAAGAGCACAGGCCCCAAAGGGGAATGCATAGAAGACGTTTCAGAGTTTGAGTGAATAATAGTTGGAGAATGCACTATACATCAACCAAACTAAAACGATAAACTATTTTATTTTTTACCAGGTAAGGGCCCACTGAGCTCCATGTAGCTATTTTTCAGAAGTGACCCGACCACAAATGATAGCTCGAAAAAAGTGGCTTATCATGTGGAAATTTATCGCAGCCAAATAATCTAAACGCACGTTTCTAAACGGGGCCTTCAAGGTATATGAAGTTCAAATAGCATAATTTTTTAGAGTGCGTCGCCATCATAGTAAGTCGATTTGTTCGGTCGTCCAACTTTACTGCTGTTGATTTCAAACACTTTCTACGGCATGTACACTAAATGGGGAATGGCTTTAAAAGTTGTATAATCGCTCTGTAGATGTAGATCACACCGCCGCGATCTATTGCACAGCGGTTGAACTTATGACTCTCAGGCCGAACAGGCAACTGGACATACGGACGGATTTGTTCGTATGGCTGAAAGTTTGTAAGTCGAATGTTTGTAAGTATAGGGGTCCCTGTAGTGTGCAAATTAAGCAGGGAATTATTGAAAAACACGAAAGAGGTGTCAAAGCAACTGCTCTGGTTAATATGGCCTGCCCCAATATGATCAGATAACGTTAATTTATTTAAATTGCTCAGCACTCCCAGGTCTAGGTTGTGCTATTTTGGCGACCGGTGCTTTTGTTAGCGTGGCACCCAAGCGATGGAACGCCGTGCCACTTGAAATCAGGGAGTCGGTAGATATATTTAAATCTGCTTTGAAATCCCATGCCGTTAAAGTGACCTTCACTCTTTAGTTTGGTCCTTGCCCCTTGGTTCCGTTTTTGTTTCCTGCTTTTCATGCATTGCGCATTGAGATCCTAGGATGGAATGCGTATTACACATTTGCATTATTACTATTTTATGATTACTGTTTTTAGGGTCAAAAAAGGTCAACTTCCGCTCGTCTTGGAACAAATTAAGCCCCCTTTAACGTGAATTTCCTAAATTCGATTTCGCGATAATTTCAATGAGTTATGGCTTTCGTGGAGCCAATGATTGTCATGTCGTTAGCTGAGAGAACACTGTACTCATGCAATTTGTATTCATATACTTTTATCTATTTAATTAAATTATTTTTAGCGATTTATTTACCTTTCCTATACTTTGCACTCCTATTGTGTTTTTGTATTGTGTCCTGTTGTTGTTGTTGCAACTTTCTGACCCCAGGCCCCAACTGTACATCTGTGAACAAGAGCTTCGGATCCGCTTCTGCGGGCGTCTGGAACGCGCTGTCCCTTCTAATATTAGAAAGCCACTGGGAGATACGCTACACTTTTAAATCATCATCTAGATAATCATTTCTTTAGAAATGCTTTCTGTTGTGTTTAGTTTGTTGTCCTTCGCCCCCCACCCCTCCCCGCTCCTCAGGTTAGCATGGATAACTACGTACGGTGCGAAATAAGTTCAACATACATACAACAATGCGCATAGACTCAACACTGACTGACTGCTTGTTGTTGTGTTTAATTTGCTGTCCTTCCCCTGCACTTTCAATTAGCACGGTTGGTTACGTACGGTGCGAAAGAAGTTCAACGCAGGTGCATTCGTAGCTGATCGGATTTCTCCAGTCTAAATAAAGATTCTGATTCTGGATTTCTGTGTAGTAACAAATAAACATTGATCGATAGATGGATGCGTATGAGTGTCTTGTACACACAGAGAAAGGAAGCAGAGGGCAAACCTCTTCAGCGAGAGGGATGTCAGGAGGAGAAGCCTGGGAGAGATTGACAGCCGAGCGGGCGGTTTCCACGACGACCGAAGAATGAGTGGGAGGGGCTTGGGTGGGGTGGGCGTGGCCTGACCGAGGCTCCGTCCCCACGTACAGCTGATTGATTTGGCTGAGGGTGAAGTACTCCTGAAGAGAGAGGGCAAGTGGGAGGGGTTAACCAAGCGCCCCCACCCCCTACCGTTAGCGACGCGCTCGATAAAGCCGGAAAGGTCAGAAGGTTAATAATGAGCCTGTGAGCGATCAATCGTTAGCGCAACCAAAGTGGTATGGCACAGTAGGAATGAGGTGGAGAGTACGAATGATTTGCGCTGCAGGTGAGACAGCACAAAGGAGACAAAGTGTAGACAAATGAGGCTACTAACCAAATTGTACCAAAGACAGAAAACTTCATGTAAAAGAGAGACTAGGAATGAAGACAGACCGAACGATACTGACGGTCCAAACAAGACAATTTTTATTAACATATTTAAAGTTCTTTGTATTGAATCGTGACTCCGAATCGTAACGATTAGTCAAACAATTAGGGGTAGGGGGTGGAAGGTTAATAATTCCATGCCAAATTTAAAGACATGCACGTTGTCAGTAATGTTAACAAAATCAAAGGCGTGGGGCAGTTTCGCTATTTCATTCATGCAATTCGGTCGCGTTGAGGCGCGGGTAACTGTTCATTTTAATCAGGAAGTTGGTATCAGTTCCCGATTTTTGGTTTCATCTGAAAACATCTGAAAACTTGGCCTAGATACGAAGTTTCAGACGATCGGAAGTCATGCTTGATTTCGGACCGAATTTAGAAGCCACGCAGGAAGTGATGCCATTCCCAATGGCGCCGCAGGAAGTGATGTTACTGCCACAATGTCACAGTAAGTAATGCCACTCCTGCAATGCCACAGGAAGTGATGTAACTTCCTTGACACCGCTGTCCGCAAGCAGCTTGTCAACCAAATTAGGACAGCAATTCACTCGCCTTGATAAGGGGCGGCATGCTCATTAATTACAGCGGTGTCGGACTTTGTCATAACCCTAGACACTGCTTTCTCAGACAGCAACAGTGGTCATCTTACAGGTGAACTGACCACTGCCATAGGAATGTGGATTTTCAACCCATTTGAACAGGCAGAAGCTGTGACTGTGAATTATCATATTAGCAGCAAACCATACCTGGCGTAGGTTACGGGCGGTTTGAGCAGATGATGATGATGACGAAGACGATAATGACGACGATGATGACGATGATGTTAGTGTGAGTGTGGAGGGGAAGTGGGATGGGGTGTTAATGATGTTGTGTGAGGGTTCTGGTAGAGTTAGGGGTTCCTGTAAATGAAGGGCGGGAGGGAGGAAGGAAGGGAGAAAGGAAGAGAGACACACACGGGGCAGGGAGAGAAAGTTGCAAAGAGGTGGAGGTGGAGGGAGCAACGTGACAACAGCGTGGCCTCAAAATGCCGGGGGCAGAGGGGGGAAAGGTGTAGCAACTGCCATTACCCGCTCACGCCACCACCAGCGGAAGGACCAGTAGCTCTTGCGGGGGGGGGGGGGGGGGACTGTTATAACGTGGAACGCGGCCCCCGTTATAATGTGGAACTAGGGCCGATATAACACGGAACGCACGCACCGTTATAACGCAGAACATGCACCTTGTACGTTTGCCAGTTTCTCTTCATTCTATCTATGTACACATACGTACAATCCGCTCCGATGACGTACCTGTACGTCATCGGAACGGAATCGGAAGAAGAAGAAAAAATAACCTCATCGGTACGTCATTCAGGTCGGCAGACGTACCGAGGCTCTCCCACAAGGCCATGCTGCAGGAGGAGAGCGTGCGGCCCCAGTTTAGCGCCGGCTATCGCAGAGTGGCGGCGGTGGTCGTGTCTCTACGGTTCTCCGCGATGGGCACAGTACAACGTCTTTAAAAACAACGGCGCTGCTGCTGCTGCTGCTGAGCCACCCCCCCTCTCTCTTCAATAACACGAACGCCGAACCGCTTTGCTCGTTGCTCCCGAGAGATGCGGCGGTGAACGGGACGACCCACCGCACCACACAACCCCGCGACTTGCAGGCACATCTGGGAACACGGGGGAGGGGTCGAAAAGTCGCCCCCCCCCCCACCCACCCCCCAGGCAGATCCAGGGTGCCTCACATCATCTCAGTCGTCCTCTGCAGTTTTGGCCCTAGGGCACCACCCCCCCCAGTGGCAACAATTGGTCCCTACAAGACTCTGTAAAGTAGCGGTTGGTTGGGGAGGGGGTGGGGGTGGTGAAGCGATATTCCCCTCCCCCAACAAATGGGGAAATCAGGGTGCTTCAAAAAAATGTTAACACTTCGGAGAATCTGCAACAACGCCACAAGAAACGTGCTGCTGCCTCGGGGCTCCGGAGGCCACCTGGAGAAGACTCCAGGCCACGCGTTGACGACGACGGCGAGCAAGTGGGAGACTCCTTGACTTCTTGAAGCGATTAACATTACATTTGCTGTAGTGCTACAGTGTATTATCCACTGTTTTTTTTCCATTGAGAACGACAAGCCCCTTGTAAGTGGTAACATTGTTCTGAAGCACCTTGTATTTACGGCTAAGTTTTTTCGGTGTTTTTTTTTGTTCCTTCCTTCCTTGCCCCCCACCCCCCCCCCCCCCCCCCCGACTTCCCCGAATCTGGCAGAGCGCGGTTAACAGAACGGTGGTTTGGGGCACGCGCGGGGGGGGGGGCGGGGGGGGCAGGGGGGGCAGGGGGGGGGAGACAACGCGGGGGTGGAGGGGCGTCACCGCTGTCACCTCTCTGAGGGCAGGAGACAGGGCGGCTGCGACGTCGACGTTCCCCATCGCCTCCGCCAGCTCAACCTCCACCAGCGAGAGCTCCTCCCGCTCCTACGGGCGGCACAAAGACAGCGATCACCCCCCCACCCCCACCCCACCCGGCGGCCGTGTAGCCTTAACAGACTGTGGGGGGCAAGCGCTGTTAGCGAGCAGCAGCACCGGCACTGTGGCACGCGAGGGGGTGGGTGGCCAGCACCACGCCCGGCCGCCTTTGTCTCCCCAGTGGCGATGTTTACTGCACACCGCGCCAGGTACTCATTTGAGGCTGAGTCGACCTTGGGGAGACCCAGGAACCGGTGTTGGCCGTGAGCGGAAATCGAACTTGGGCCACCGGGTTTTTAGATCAGCGGGCTAACTGTTGCACTACCGCTCCCCACCACAGTCACACACAGACACACACAGACACACGTAGACACACATACACAGTCACACACAGACACACACAGACACACACATACACAGTCAAAGGTCAAGGTCCCCCAAGTAGCCCTTAACACTGTGGGGCAACATCTCGCCTCGGCGGCGAGATGTTGAAAACCTCGCCCGGTATACAGGAGGTCGCCTGTATATTTGGATTTTGTGGTTTTTTTGGTGACAATATTAGTGATGACGACGTTGGTGGTGATGTTGGTGGTGATGATGATGATGTTGTTGATGTTGATGATGTCGGTGATGTCTCACCCTCTCGTAGAGGCGCACGAGCGTGCCCCTCTCCCGCTGGAGTCTCTGCCTCTCCACCTCCGCCGCCCGCAGCGTCTGGTTGGCCTGACGCTCCAGCGCACACAGACGCTCCTACACAGACAAAGGTCCCCCGTGTAGCCTCGAACAGCGCCTATCAAGGCCGGCATGTTGTCCCCCTCCTCTGTTTCCCGTGGTCCTTGCGTCTCCCCACGTGTCCCCGTGTCTCTCCACTTGTCCCTACTTCTCTCCCCACGCATCTCTCCGCGTGTCTCTCCCCTTGTGCCTCTCCTTACATGTCCCCACGTGTCTCCCCATGTGTCTCTCCCCCCGCGTCTCTCCCCACGTGTCTCACCGTTTGCCTCCCCCCCCCCCCGCGTCTCTCCGCGCGCGTCTCTCCCCGCGTGTCTCTCCCCGCGTGTCTCTCCCCGCGCGTCTCTCCCCGCGTGTCTCTCCCCGCGTGTCTCTCCCCGCGCGTCTCTCCCCGCGTGTCTCTCCCCGCGCGTCTCTCACCCCACGTCTCCATGTGTGCCTCTCCCCGTGTGTCTCTCCCCCCGCGTCTCTCCCCCGCGCGTCTCTCCCCGCGTGTCTCTCCCCGCGCGTCTCTCCCCGCGTGTCTCTCCCCGCGCGTCTCTCACCCCACGTCTCCATGTGTGCCTCTCCCCGTGTGTCTCTCCCCCCGCGTCTCTCCCCGCGTGTCTCTCCCTCACGCGTCTCTCCCCCCGCGTCTCTCCCCGCGTGTCTCTCCCCCACGCGTCTCTCCCCGCGTGTCTCTCCCCGTGTGTCTCTCCCCACGTCTCCACGTGTGCCTCTCCCCCCGCGTGTCTCCCCCCGCGTATCTCCCGTGCATCTCTCCCCACGTCTCTCCCTGCGTGTCTCTCCCCGTGTGTCTCCCCCCCCGTGTCTCCCCCCGCGTCTCTCCCCACGTCTCCACGTGTGCCTCTCCCCCCGCGTCTCTCCCCGCGTGTCTCCCCCCGCGTATCTCCCGTGCATCTCTCCCCACGTCTCTCCCTGCGTGTCTCTCCCCGCGTGTCTCCCCCCGCGTGTCTCTCTCCGCGCGCGAGCCACCTTGCGAGACACGATGGTGCGTCTCAGCTCCGTCATGTCCTTGAGCACGCTGTGCAGTCCGGCCTCCCTCTCCTCCTCCAGCCGCGACTCCGTCTCCAGCTGCTGGAACTCCAGGTCCTCGAAGCGGCGAGCGCCGCTCTCCAGCTGGTCGCTCACCTGGGACATCGTCGTTGTCGTCGTCATCATCACCGTCGTCGTCATCATCGTCGTCATCATCACCGTCGTCGTCATCATCACCACCGTCGTCGTCATCATCACCGTCGTCGTCATCGTCACCGTCGTCGTCATCATCACCGTCGTCGTCATCATCATCACCGTCGTCGTCATCATCATCATCATCACCGTCGTCGTCATCATCATCACCGTCGTCATCATCACCGTCGTCGTCATCATCACCGTCGTCGTCATCATCACCATCGTCGTCATCATCATCATCATCATCACCGTCGTCATTATCACTGTCATCATCATCACCACCACCATCGTCGTCGTCATCATCACTGTCATCATCATCACCGTCGTCATCGTCATCATCATCACCACCATCGTCGTCAACATTTCAGAAAACCCAAAGTTTCTTCAACTTACAGTTTTCTGCGGCGCCAGGGGGTGGGACCTGCGTACCATGCACCACCCCCCCCGCCCCCCCCCCGCCCCCCCCCCGCCCCCCCCCGGCAGCGTGAGCGGCGCTGGAGCGGTCTGCGTGGCGTGTGGGGGGTGCGGGGGGGGGGGCAGGGGGTGGCGACGGGGGGGTGCGGGGGGGGGGGGGTGACGAACCATGCGCAGCTCCTCGTCCATCTGCTCCCTGAGAGCCTCGGGGCAGCTATGGAGCTGCGTTTCAACGTCTGACTTCTTGGCGTGGAGATCGTCCAGATTCTGCCTCTCCTCCACCAGCCGGGCCTTACCCTGGGGCCCATGGCACGGTGCGGCACGGCCGTTCAAACGGCGGCGGCGGTGTTAGTAGTGGTGGGAGTTATGGTGGTCGTGGTGGTGGTGGTGGTGATGGTAGGGGTGGTGGTGGTGGTAGAGCGGTGGTGAGGTTGTGATGCAGGTGGTAGTGATGATGTTGGTGATGGTGGTGTAGGTGGTGTTGGCAGTGATGATGATGATGATGGTGGTGTAGGTGGTGGTGGTGATGATGATGATGGTGGTCGTGGTGATGGTGGTGGCGGCGATGATTTTGGTGGAGCGAGCGAGGGAGACGGTGCACGCGTGTGCCCATGCACGCACGCAGCGGCGCGTGGATTACACGCACGCACGCACGCGCATGCATGTAAACACACACACAAACACACACATGCAAACACACGCACGCAAACACACACAAACACACACAAACACACGCACGCAAACACACACACGCAAACACACACAAACACACGCGCGCAAACAAACACACACACACAATGAAATGTGTTAGCAGGCCATGCAATAGACAGCACAATCCAGGCTTAAACTTTGCAAACGGCACGTGCGTTTACCCGCCCGACGCAGCGCTGCGCGGATAACCGGCGATGACGGTGGTGGTGGAGCGATTGGGGGGGGGGGGGGGGGGGGGCGTTAATGCAGCCAGGCCGTTAGCGCGTCTGCTGGCAAGCGGCGCCGTGCCGGTCGTGCCGAGCGGGAGGGGGGGGGGGGTTGGTGGATCACGCACGGAGAGATGTTGGAGAAATTCCCTTCCGCCCGTGGACTAATCCCCATCTGTTCCACCTCATTCCAATTCTACCCGTGGGTGGGTGTCGACTAGGAGCCGTACCCCCTGGCTTAGAAGGCGGCACACAGCAGCAAAGGGCTGACTAATCCACATCTGTTCCACCTGCCCCACAAGATTGCTCGCGCGTGCACGTGGGTTCCTTCGGGTGCTCCGGTTTCGTGGGCGGGGTGGGGGGGGGTAGGGGAGGGGGCGGAGGGAGGGAGGGAGGGAGGGGCGTGCGGCGGTGGCGTCATCGTCGTCACCTTGTCTCTCTGGCGGGCGACGCGCGCCTCCAACTCCGACATCTTCCTCTGCAGCGCGGCGATCACCTCCTGGTCCTTGCCGAGGTTCGACTTCTCCGCCGCCTTCTCCCCCTCCAGCAGCGCCCGCTCCATCTCCGCCTGCGGCGCGGTTGCCGTCGTCATCAGCATCGTTCGTCATCAGCGACATCATCAGTGACATCAGCAGCGACATCATCAGTGACATCATCAGCGACATCATCGGTGGCAGCACCATCATAATCAGCATCATTATTGTCATCAACATCATCATCAGCAGCATAATCATCAGTCGTCATCATCATCATCATAAGCATCGTTCAGTTATTTTGAGCTGGTAGTCTGGACAAGGCTGAGAGCTTTTACAATTGCAACGCTATGCACCTGTGTGCATGTGTGGCATCTACATCTGCAGAACATGAACCAGTGGTAACTTTCAAAGCCATTCCCCCCGTGTTTAGTGTACATGCCCGGACAACATTTTTGGAATGGACAGGAGTAAAGTTGGACTCACTAACAAATCGACGTACGAACGGACCTCTGGAGCCTAATGCGTTCGTAAGTAGATGAGTCCCTGTAGTTTAACCGTCTTTAGTTTAGCTTTCTCAAAAAGAGCCACATAGCTCACCTCTCGCGCGCAGTCCTCCATCTGGCTCTGCACATCGTGGATCCGTCGTTTCAGCTCCTCCACCACCGCCACCAGCTGGGCCCTCCTCACGTCCAAGCGCATCACTTCCTGCCGGTGCTCCGCCCCCCGCCGCATCACTTCCTGCTCGAGCCCCACCTCCCGGCGCATCACCTCCTGCTTCTGTTCCGCCAACTTCAGCCTCGCCTCCTGCCTGGGCGTCCTGCGGGATTGTTCGGGCGGGCTCGGTACTCTGTCGTACGACGACATAGTCTGGATGTAGCCCTGCAAAAAATACGCGAGGAAAAACGGGGGGGGGGTGGGGGAAATAATAATAAACAACATTAAGATTTGTTAAACACGTAGGCTTTCGCGAGCAATATCATCCATAATAGAGTTTTTGTTGGGTTCGATCACGTAAATATATAAATGTTGTGTCGTTAAACCCGCCACGACCCGACACAGCCTACTAGTAAGGGTTTGTCACGTAAACAAATTTGGCTGTCGCCTGATGAAGCTGGTTGTAATTACTGGCGAAACGTCGTACTCAGATTGTAAATGTTGTGGCTTTGCTCTCCAACACACCGGTTAGTGCTGTACTAGTATACGACACTATACACTGCTATACACTACACTATACACTACACACTAGTGCTGTACTGGTAACTAATTGGCACGTTCTGTTTACGGGACAACCCTTACTAGTTGGCTGTGTCGGGTGGTGGCGGGTTTAACGACACAACATTTATATATTTACGCGATCTAACCCAAAAATACCTCTATTATGAACATTAAGATTTACTCAGAATCATTATTAATACTGGAGCAGGAATCTGACTACAATAACAAACAACATAAAAGCCGTGAGAGTGCAAAGTGTAGGAAGGGTAAACAGATCACCCAAACTAAAATCTATCAATTAAACTAAACTTTTTTTTTTATCTTACAAAGGCAAAGCCCACTGAGCCATTAGCTTCTTTTTCAGAAGCGACCTGGCCACAAATGAAAGCTCAACAAAGGCGCTCGTCATCATTTAAAGCAGCCAATTACAGCGTGGTTCGGTCATGTGGAGAGACAACAGGAAAATGATGCGGGTCAGAAGGTGGCAAGTGATGCAGCAAGTGCAAGCAAAGAGTTCAAGAGGAAGACAGAAGCAGAGGCTGTCGATGCGGTGCGATCGGACACGGTGGCCCGGCGAGCGGAAAGAGAGATGGCGCAGGGCTGGGCAGCGTGTAAGAAGGTTGGCAAGGGCTGCGGAAGACCCCCCGAATGAGTGGCACAAACGCGTGGAAGAAGGAGGAGCAATACGGTAAAACCTCGCAATCTGATCATTCGTAATCGGGGATAATTCGCCACGGCTGCGCTTTCGCCACGTACGCGGTGCGTCAGTAATTCGCCACGAGCCGAATCGCCGTGCCGAACGGTCCAATCTGGGCGTGGCGCGTGGAGCGATGCCGCGCGCCACGACCTAAACGACGACGCGGTCTGGTGGCGGTGAGCGTGGCGAGCGTGGTGAGCGTGGTGAGCATGGCAGAGCGTGGCAGAGCGTGGTGAGCGTGGCAGAGCGTGGTGAGCGTGGTGAGCGTGGTGAGCGTGGCAGAGCGTGGTGAGCGTGGCAGAGCGTGGTGAGCGTGGTGAGCGTGGCGAGCGTGGCAGAGCGTGGCGAGCGTGGTGAGCGTGGCGAGCGTGGCGAGCGTGGCGAGCGTGGCGAGCGTGGCAGAGCGTGGTGAGCGTGGCAGAGCGTGGCAGAGCGTGGCGAGTGTGGTGAGCGTGGCAGAGCGTGGCAGAGCGTGGCGAGCGTGGCAGAGCGTGGTGAGCGTCAGTGCGGACCCGACGCTTCGGACTTTACCCTGTTTGTGCACTCGGTGCAAGAAATGTCGTCTACACCGAGTTCAAGAAGCGACAGGAAGGGACCGAAGTATAAAATCCCCTTCATCTGCGAGACAAATCCAGAGTTTTGGATACAATTGATGCAGGGAGTGTGTGTCGATGGCTACGGTGTGTGAAGAGTTTGGAAATCAAATGTGGATTTAATGTTTTTTATTGGGTCAGGAGGCACTGGGGAGAAGCATTGTACATAATTTGGAATATTTGAGAATTCGGCAAGGCCAGACCCCCCCCCCCCCTACATGTGTCGAATTAACAAGGGGTTTACCATTTAAGGTCTCGACACAGAGACATTGGGTCTCTGTGTGTTTATGTTGTGTGTGTCTCTCTCTCTCTCTCTGTGTCTCTGTGTTGTCTCTCTCTGCTTGTGTGCCTCCGTGTCTGTGTTTTGTCTCTCTCTAAAATTTAGTTCTACCTGATGACGATTGCTTGTGTTGCAATCGAAACGTCGTACTCCCTATTATTCAATTTATTTTCTTCCAACGTGCCTTTACCGAAAGAACCAAAGAGGGTTTACTGTGCTCGAAACGTGTGACGTTGATTCTAAATATGGAGGGAAAAGCCAGAGGACCCGGAGAAAAATCCACGCGACCACGGGGGAGAAAGCGAGACACCGCAAACTCCAGATATACAGCAGGCGTCAGGGTAGGTAGGGGTCGCATCCACGCTCTCATGTATGCCAGGCGAGGTAGTTAACATCTCCTAGCCACCGTGATGATGATGAGAGAGAGAAAGAGAAAAAGACACCACACACTCCAAATATACAGCAGGCGTCAGGGTCAGGATCGAACCCACTATCTCCTGTATACCAGGCGAGGTAGTTAACATCTCATAGCCACCACAGTGTGCCCCATTTACCTGGCTGTTGGGGCAAGTGGCGTTAACGAGCACCTGTTAGGGCTGGCAATACGCACGAGCGAGTGTTGTGGCCACCAGTGCTCATGTATGTACACACAGCATTAGGTAGTCGTTTGTGGCCGAATCCACCTAGGGGAGACCCAGGACCGGTTCAGATAATTATCGTCACCGGCGTTGGCGGCCATGAGTGGGAACCGAACTGGAGTCACCGGGTTGGTGAGGCGGCTGTAACCACTGCGCCACCGCTCCACACACACACACATGCACGCCTCCAGCCACTTTGTAAAACAAACACACTTCATTAAATAATAAAATTATATATATAAATAACGGGGAGCAGCTGTTGACAAACTGGTCCGGTGACTCGGGAGGTCCCCACTGTATTCGGAGTCGCAGGCCACAGTCCACATCACCTCCCCGCAGCGTTTTCGCTTCGCAGGGGCGAGCAGTCGCGCCACAGGTAGCACACTCCTGGGCCCGTGCCACGCCGTGCCACGCCGTGCCACGCCGTGCCAGGCCGTGCCACGCCGTGCCAGGCCGTGCCACGCCGTGCCAGGCCGTGCCACGCAGTGCCACGCCGTGCCAGGCCGTGCCACGCCGTGCCACGCAGTGCCACGCCGTGCCACGCAGTGCCACGCCGTGCCAGGCCATGCCACGCCGTGCCAGGCCGTGCCACGCCGTGCCACGCAGTGCCACACCGTGCCACGCAGTGCCACACCGTGCCACGCCGTGCCACGCCGTGCCACGCAGTACCACGCCGTGCCACGCCGTGCCACGCAGTGCCAGGCCGTGCCACGCCATGCCACACCGTGCCACGCCGTGCCACGCAGTGCCACACCGTGCCAGATCAACGGCCCTCACCTCGTCCTGCGCGCTCTCTGTGCTGCTGCTGCACTCGTCACGGCCCCCTGCGGGCCCCTCCCCCCCTCTGCCTCCTCCTCCCCTCGTCGCCATCGTCACCGCGGTCCCTCCAATCTCCTCGCCGGCGTCGTCATGACGACTGTCATCTCCAGGGCTCTGAGCTGGGTGGGAGTGGAGACACGGCGACACGAATCGTCACGGCGACACGAATCGTCACGGCGACACGAATCGTCACGGCAGCACCACCACTACCACCGCCACCATAAAACAAAGATCCCCGTGTAGCCTGTAACAGGCTGTAGGGGCAAGTGCTGTTAGCGAGCAGCAGCAGCAGCACCTATGAAGGCCGGCACGGCACACGAGGGGGTGGGTGGCCAGCACCACGCCAGACCGCCCTTTGTCACCCCGGTGGCGACGTTTGCTGCACACCGCGCCGGCTACTCGTTTGAGGCCGAGTCGACCTCGCGGAGGCCCGGGACCGGTTCAGGCAATCGCCAATGGTGTTTGGCCGCGAGCGTGAATCTAACTCCGGCCGCTGGGCTCCTGGCGCAGCGCGCTAACCGCCGCGCCACCGCTCCCCGCAAGCCCTGCGAGTGATTGCTCCTCTCTCACGCTCACGAGGTCCATAACGGCCGCGTCGGTACCTGAGTCCACGGTTGCCGCGGAGACTGGCGCCGGTGCAGCCGCGGCGACGGGACGGGCCTCCTCCTCACCGCTGCCGCCCCCCTCCGTCTTACCCATAATGCCGCGCAGGTCCGAGATGCTGCCCTTCTCGTGATACTCGGCGCAGAGGCTGAGGATCGTTTCCAGCCGCTGGCGCTCCTGCAGGGGCACAAGCAAGTCGCGAGCCGTGGTCAGTCCACTGCTGGGTGGCGGACGGAATTGACCGATGCCACCACCAGGAGGGCGGGGTGAGGGGAGGTGAGTTGGTGGGTGAGTGAGTGAGTGGGTGAGTGTGTGGGTGGGTGTGTGTGAGTGGGTTGGTGGGTGGGTGAGTGGGTGGGTGGGTGAGTGAGTGGGTGGGTGGGTGAGTGAGTGGGTGGGTGGGTGAGTGAGTGGGTGGGTGGGTGGGTGAGTGAGTGGGTGGGTGGGTGAGTGAGTGGGTGGGTGGATGAGTGAGTGGGTGGGTGAGTGAGTGAGTGGGTGGGTGGGTGAGTGAGTGGGTGGGTGGGTGGGTGAGTGAGTGGGTGGGTGAGTGAGTGAGCGGGTGAGTGAGCGGGTGAGTGAGCGAGTGGGTGAGCGAGCGGGTGAGCGGGCGGGTGAGCGGGCGAGTGAGTGGGCGAGTGAGCGAGCGACTGAGCGACCGCAATATGAAGAACAACACGAGCACACGGTGACTCTTGGCAGTGGGGTGGTGGTGGTGGTGAAACTATCCAGGAACGGCCGCGTAAACTTTACACAGAGGCCTTTAAAAGGACGTGACGGTGAGGGCAGAGACTCGCACGCGTCTACGACTTGAACCTTCAAGGCTTTGACGCACAGATGCCGTGTGGTTTACGCGTCCCCAGCTGGCGAACGTAAACCTTGCCGGAGCGGCGCTCGTTGCATTGCAAGCCAGCGGCGTCGGTTCAGCAGGACTCACTCGGCCCACATCATGAAGGGGCTTGGATTCGATTCCCGATCTCGGGTGCCTCTGCGTGGAGTTTTCCGTGCGTCTCTACCCCTGTTCTCCAGGAGAGTACGAGTGAGTGGGGTTTGTATGATCTCCCCCTGTTCTACAGAGTGAGTGGAGTTTGTGTGATCTCCCCCTGTTGTACAGAGAGTCAGTGGGGTTTGTGTGATCTCCCCCTGTTCTACAAAGTGAGCGAGTGGAGTTTGTGTAATCTCGCCCTGTTCTACAGAGTGAGTGGAGTTTGTATGATCTCGCCCTGTTCTACAGAGTGTGTGAGTGGAGTTTGTGTGATCTCCCCCTGTTCTACAGAGTGAGTGGAGTTTGTATGATCTCCCCCTGTTCTACAGAGAGTCAGTGGGGTTTGTGTGATCTCCCCCTGTTCTAGAGTGAGTGAGTGGAGTTTGTATGATCTCCCCCTGTTCTACAGAGTGAGTGGAGTTTGTATGATCTCCCCCTGTGTTACAGATTGAGTGGAGTTTGTATGAGTGTGTGTGGGTGAGTGAGTGGAGTTTGTATGATCTCCCCCTGTTCTAGAGTGATTAAGTGGAGTTTGTATGATCTCCCCGTTCTATAGAGTGAGTGTAGTTTGTACGATCTCCCCGTTCTACAGAATGGGTGTAACTCGTAGGCTTTCGCGACCAATATTATTCATAATAAAGGTTTTTGGGTTAGATCGCGTTATTTATAAATAACAATAACACACATTGCAACTAATTACTAATCTACAACTCATTACTAATCATAACCATTGACTGATTACCTACCAATCGATTATATAATTATAATACCCCCCCTCCACCTCAAATCACTGCACCTGAAATGAGTTAAATGATGACGTCACCCTGCTGCTGCTGTATTTAAGACCGGGAGCAAGTGGAGAGGGCTTTACCATTCTGGCGAATTGCCCGATGATGCTGGATGTAATTACCAGCAAAACGTCGTACTCAAATTTTAAACGAGGGTGATTCACTCTTCAACACACCGGTGGGCTAAAGTAGTGAACTATTTGTCCTTTGTAAACGTGACACTTTTTTGCTGATTGGCCGTGTCGGGTGGTGGAGGGTTACGACACATTTATAAATAACGCGATCTAACCCAAAAACCTTTCATATGAAGAATGAGTGTAGTTTGTATGAGTGTGTGTGGGTGAGTGAGTGGAGTTTGTATGATCTCTCCCCCTGTTCTACAGATTGAGTGGAGTTTGTATGAGTGTGTGTGGGTGAGTGAGTGGAGTTTGTATGATCTCTCCCCCTGTTCTACAGATTGAGTGGAGTTTGTATGAGTGTGTGTGGGTGAATGTGTGTGGGTGAGTGAACTTTGTATTCTCTCTCCCCCTGTTCTACTGCGTGAGATGCCTCTCCGTGGTCCTCCGCTTTCCAAGCTCAAATAACACCACGCACAATGTAACCGGCATCGACCCGAGGCAAATCCCCAGAGCTGAAGTTAAAATAAGATAAATTACCTGCAAATCGCTCAACTGGGGGAATCACACAGCGGCGGCGGTAATCAGAATCAGAATGTTTATACGGAAGGAATCCGATGAGCTATGAAGCTCTTTTTCACAGATGTCCAGTAGGGGCATGGGGTAAGAATGTTACACCAACAAACAATAACAAACATAGGAAAGATAAACAAATCACCCAAACAATGCCAAGCCATCGCCATTCTACCAGGCAATGCCCCACTGAGCTATTGAAGCGGCCTGGTCACCACAAATGATATCCACTCAACATCATTTGGACATTCATAGCAGCGAAATAATCCCAATAGTCTAAGCGAATTATGAGGACCAATAAAGACGCACTCTTTGGTTCTATTCGGTAAAGTCACGTAGGTAAAAAAACAAAACAACAAAAAAATCACGACGTTTCGGCCACAACACAAGTGGCCTTCATCAGGTGAAGGGACCAGACTGTCCAGAGGACAGCGTTGGAGTGAAGAAAGTCAAGCGCAGGTCGCCTCCTTTAAGCTGCGAGGGGGTAAACAGAAAAAAACGCCTTGACAAAGGAATTAGCATAAAATGTAAAGCTGTGCAAGGTTGGAATTAGCATAAAAAATACATTAGCACCACCGTGAGAGTTTGGGATGCCACTAATTGAATAAACATACTGTGCCATTAAAAAATACTTTAACGTTTGGTTCGATTTAGAACATCTTTCCAATGGTTGCTTAATTTGAAACCATCTTCTCGTGCTTGACTTTCTTCACTCCAGTGTGAGTGAGTGCAGTTTGTGTGAGTGAGTGTGAGTGAGTGGAGTTTGTATGAGTGAGTGTGAGTGAGTGTGAGTGAGTGGAGTTTGTATGAGTGAGCGAGAGTGAGTGGAGTTTGTATGAGTGAGTGTGAGTGAGCATGAGTGAGTGCACTTTGTGTAAGTGAGTGAGTGAGAGTGAGTGCAGTTTTTTATGAGTGTGTGAGTGAGTGAGTGGAGTTTGTATGAGTGTGAGCGAGCGAGTGAGTGTGAGTGAGTGGAGTTTGTATGAGTGAGCGAGAGTGAGTGGAGTTTGTATGAGCGAGCGAGAGTGAGTGTGAGTGAGTGCACTTTGTGTAAGTGAGTGTGAGTGAGTGTGAGTGAGTTGTGAGTGTGTGCACTTTGTGTGAGTGAGTGAGTGTGAGTGAGTGCACTTTGTGTAAGTGAGTGAGTGTGAGTGAGTTGTGAGTGAGTGGAGTTTGTGTGAGTGAGTGAGTGGAGTTTGTGAGTGTGAGTAATATGGGCTTAACGACGCTCCAAAAAAAAAACAACCCCACTATGGACATTGTTCGCGAAAGCCCTACCAGGGCGACGCGTCAACATGAGCATGTACGTCGAACTTCTTTCACACCCTACGTCGCCGACGGCATCGAACGGCGGCCGTGGCGTGGCGAGATGGCACGCTGCCTTAGCGGTCGCGGCCTGACTACGATTGTGAGAAGGCGCGTGAGTACGGTGAAGCTCGTTGTGCCTACCCCATGGTGAATGTGTCGGGCAGAGATGGACCCCCACTGTCGCGATCACACAGACGTTACTGTCACAACGCAACGGGAAAGTCAGCCGTTCATTTCCCCATGGTACAGGTATTGTTTGGGTTGGATCGCGTCAACCCGCCACCAATACCAATTCAGTGAGGTTTGTCACGTAAAGAGAACGTGACAAATTCGTCGCTAGTACAGCACCAACCGTTTGTGCGTTGGAGAGCCAAGCCACAGCATTTGCAATCTTGGGTACGACGTTTTGCCAACAATTACAACCAGCTTTATCAGGCGACAGCCGGATTTGTGGAGCAGTCCACCTGTTTTTACTTCAGAAACGACCCCCTGGCTATAACAAATGATAGCTCTACGAAGTTGGCTCATCATCATTAGGTGGAAATTGATAGCGGCAGCCAAATTACTCTAAACGCGTTGATTCTAAATGTGGAAGGGGGGGAAAAAATGGAGGAGCCGGAGAAAAATCCACGTGACCACGGGGAGGGAGAGACGCAAACTCCAAATACACAGCAGCATGTGTCAGGGTCGGGATCGAACCCACGACCTCCTGCACACCAGGCGAGGTAGTTAGCATCTCCTAGCCACCGTGATGATGATGAGAGAGAGACACGCAAACTCCAAATATACAGCAGGTGTCAGGGTCGGGATCGAACCCACGACCTGCTGTATACCAGGCGAGGTAGTTAACATCTCCGACATACAAACACACACTAACACACAAACCGACATACTGACACACACACTGACACACACACCAACAACAACAACAACCGCCATTCGCCACTAAGTGGCGGTGACGTCACCACGACGCTTGTGCCAGGCCATGTGCACCTTGAGGCCACGTGAAGTGTCGAACGCCCGCTGGCAGGAGGTCACGGGGCAGACCCAGGTGCCATGGGTCGACTGACTGAGATGACTGGCTGATGCACCACCTGTGCCCCCTACTGTGCCAACCTGCTGTGCTTTAGCCACCCGGCGCTCCGCTCCTTGTTGTGAGCGTGGCTCCTCCGCCCTCCGTTGTTGTTGGAGGGCGACTGCCTCCAACTGCCCAGTAGCGTCCTTCACGAGCCTCCTCCACAGAGGCCGATCTTGACACCGCTGGTACCAGTCATCGGCAAGTCCACTCAGCTCCACGTCCTCCTGTACCACATCACTCCATCTCTTCTCTTGCCCGTGCCACACCCGTTTAGCCCCCTTGGCCGAACAAAAGCTGTTTCGGCATGCGGTGGCTGGGCATGCGGGCTA